TCAACCACAAAGACAGGCATCTACTCAGAGTAAAAGGTTGGGAAAAGGTCTTTCAAGCAAATGGTCCTAACAAAAAAGCAGGTGTGGCCATACTAATTTCCAACAAAACTGACTTCAAACTAAAATCAATCAGAAGAGATCGAGATGGACACTTTATACTCATAACAGGAACAATTCATCAGGATGACATCTCAATCCTGAATATCTATGCCCCTAATATAAAAGCACCCACTTATGTAAAAGAAATATTACTAAAACTCAAGGCAGACATAAGACCACACACACTAATAGTAGGAGACTTCAACACACCTCTCTCTCCAATGGGCAGGCTAGTTTTGAAATCCTGATCTCCCTGTCTCTCCTTTCTGAGGTCTGGGGTTGCTGCTGGTATGTCATCAGGCCTGGTTCTAATGGTATATTTCAATCCTTATGATCAAGTGCATCTCCAAGGTGGTCTCCTTTACAGCTCTGAGACAAGGCCTCCTTCTGTCTTAGCTTGGGCATTAAATATGTTACCTGAGCCAGACTGGAACTAGGGATTTTTGTTTGTTTGTTGTTTTGTTTTTGTTCTTGTTCTGTTTTTGAGACAAGTGTTTTTCTGTGTAACAGCCTTAGCTGTCTTGGAACTCACTCTGTAGACCAGGCTGGCCTTGAACTCAGAGATCCACCTACTTATGCCTCCTGAGTGCTGGCAAAGGTGTGTGCTATCCTGGCATGGCAAGACTTGAAGAGCTGTTATAGCAGGCCTCTTCTTTGCTTTATCTTGCTCCATAGCTTTTTATATAAAATTGCAGAATTTCAAATGACTGAGGAGCCTAAGTGGGAAAACAATAGTGTCTGTCTTGACTTTCTCAGCCTCTCATCCTGAAGACCCTGGTTTGGAGGCGCAGAGGGGTGGAGTGGATGATCAGAAATTAGAGCTTACGTTCTACCTGTATCTTGACAAATTCAGGATATGTTGGCAAAGCCTTTGTAGTCAGATATAACCAGTGTTAGGGTCCACGTGAAGTCCCACAAAAGACCACCAGACATGTATGCAATCAACAGGAGCATTTATTTATTTTCACAGGAATGCAAGAGGTCAAACAGTAAATAAGCAAATGGCGACCCCGAGAGAAGCTCGCAGGCTCCTTTTAAGCAAGCTTAGGGGAATTCCTCAGAGTATGTCTCTAGTTACCCAAGGGCCTCGTACTGGGTCATCCTTTCCAAATGTCCCTCTGCCTGCCTGCAGCATTTCTCTGCAGGCAGATGCTCCAATCACAGTGGACTGGTGGGAATACCCACGCAACACTGTTTGTAGATTATTCTTAGAGTAAAATCCATTTGTGAAGCTATTTTTGTTTGTATGGATAGCACAAGTTGTCTTCTTGAGCCAACTTGCTTTGGAACTATTTTTTTTTAATGTTCACCGTGTAAAAATCAGTTCATGGTGACATTTTCAAAGGAAATTATACCATGTATTTTTCTCATGGTCTCCTCTTCTTTATCCCTTGTTGTCCCTCTCTCCTTTCGTGCTGATCCCTCCTCTTTCCAAGTTAGTCTCCCTTCTGCTTTCAAGTCACATGAGGGAAAATGTGATATTTATCCTTCGGAGAGTAACTAATTTTGCTCAATGTGAAGATCTCTGGGGGAACTAATTTTTTACTTCATTTTCTGTTTAGTCACATCAACAGAATTCATTGTGCTTAGTTTGTGTAATCTAAACACTTAAGCCATTACAGCTTCATTTCTTATAGTGTAAGGAAGATAGGTAATGATTCTATATAAATAATTCTAAGTTAGGGAGACTTAAAGCAATTTAATTTGGCCTATCTTAGAAATGTTAACACAGTCTGTACAATTTTTAAATTTAAGAGTACAGAGAGCAAAATTGCATAGGTTTAGTTTTTAAATATTTTTATTAGTTCTGAGATTTTGTACTTTGTGTTTTGTTCAGATTCACCACCCTCACTCCTCTCCTCCCAGATCAGTTCCCCAATTCCATCCCCACCCTACTTGTGTCTTCATTTTTTTTTCTTTGTAAAGCTACACTGAGCGCCATTAGTGCTGGCCCTCCACTCTTAGGTGTGTGTCCACCTTCTGGAGTATGTTAGACCTACAAGGGCCATACCTTTCAAGAAGTCAGCTCTCCCTCTTCTGGCAGCTGTGAATTACCAGTAGCTCCTCAGCTAGTGATGGAACTTCGTGCCCACCTCTTTCTCTCCACACTGGGATTCTGTCTGGGCTGAGCTTGCACTTGTCTTGGGCTTGTTTTGCGTGTGCTCCACAATTTCTGTGGGTTCATATGTGCAACTCTCCTCTTGTATCCAACGCTGTCATGACCTTATGATCTGCTGATGCCTTTGCTATTGCACCCTTTCTACCCCCTCTTCTGCAGTGATCCCTGAGCTTTGGGAGGATAGGGTTGTGTTATAGTTGCTCTACTTAGGGCTGAGACTTCCACAAGCAATTACTCTTTGAACCTTGACCAATTGTGGCAATCTGTGTTAATCACCATCGAATGCCAAAAGAAACTTCTTGAGCTGGGGAGATAGACCAGTGGTTAAGAGCCTTGCTGACCCTTGTTTGGCTCCAAGCGCCCACATGGTAGCTCACAAACACCTGTAAACTGTTGTTCTAGAGGGATCTGATGTCCTCTTCTGGTCTCTGTAGGCACATACATATGTGGCACACTTAACACATATTCAGTCAAAACATCAATACACATAAAATAAAAATATATAGGTCTTTTAAAAAAAGAACCTTTTCTGATGAAGCCTGAGAGCTGCAGTAATCTGTGGATATAATGAGAAGTAGTTAGGGGTTGGTATATTATATCTTTTTTAAAAATATTATCTCTTATTAGCAGAGTAACAGGAGTAGATTACTTGCTAGGTCCTATGATCTGTATAGCCACAGGTTCTTGGCCCCGATTAATTGCGCCAGCTATGGGTTTCATCTGGTGCTGAGAGCCTTTAGTCCAAGCAGAAAATGGTTTGTTACTTTTATGACTTCCATGCCACTGCTGCACCAGTGGGCCTGTCTTGCCAGGCACATTGTCGTTGATGCTTGCAGGGTTCACATCTGGATAAGCTTGGATTCCTTTTCTCCTCTGGTAGCATGCACAGCACCTCCCAGAACTAGGAATGTTAGCCAATAGGGATGAAGTTTACATCCAAGTCAGTACCAGCTTGATTTCTTCATGTTTTCTGACTCAGGTATGTGATAAGGGTCTTGCTGCCAAGTTCTGGAATAATGAGAATTTTCAGGCAATATCTGGAGTCTTTGGGACTTCAGTGGCCAACAATGAGGTAACATATTCTGACATTGGGCTTTTAATTTGTTAGCCTATAGTATCTAATAGGGCATTGTTGCCGCATTAGAGGGTAACTCCATTTAAGCTCTTCTTATATGTGTATGTTTATATTCTAGGAAGCTTCTGCAGTGGTAGATTTTCATGACTGCTTTTAGAAGGTCTTTAGTGTGTTATCTCTCCCCATATTCTCTCCTTTACCCTGCCCTCCCGCTCCCCTCTACCCTATTCCCGCCTTTATCTTTCCTCCCATTCCTTACCCCCATTCAACCATCCTTGTTCCATCATTCCCCTTTATGTTACTGCATCCTATTTTCCCTCCCCTGAAAGCCCCACTTCCTGATGATTCCCTACTAATTTTTTGACTGCTGTGGTTATTGCAAATGAGACACACACACACACACATCTGGAGATTCAAGGCTAACACCCACAAATGAGAGAAACCGTGTGATGTTCTCTCTGGGTCTGGGTTTCCTCACTCAGCTGTGAATGGAAATGCATCTATAAAATTTTCAGGTCAGTGGATGGAGCTGAAAATATCATTCCCTAGATTTATTTTTCAGTTGTTTTTCTCTCTCACAATGGGTACAGTTGCCAAATTTCTAATTGGAAGCTTATTCCTTCTTGCTTTTCACTGGAGACCTCATTATCTATGTGCACTGAGCATTTCCTGTCTCTCGGCAGCTCTACTCTGGTATTTGAGCTGAGCCAAAACTCAGTGTGGAGACAATCTAGCACAATCTTGAGATGTTTGGATTTTTTTTATTACTTAGCTGTTAGGAACCTTGCAAGTAAATACAGAAACCTTTTGGATGACTTTATCTTTGAACACACATTCATGACTTCTTTAGGAGTAAAGGCCCCTAGAGTAAACTCTTGCCAATAACTTAGCTTGCTATATTACTGTGTTGCTTTGCCTGCAGCTGATAAGGCTTTTCGAGACATGAAGGTGCTCAAGATGAGCCAGTCTATCATTGTGTCTGGAGAATCGGGAGCTGGCAAAACAGAAAATACAAAGTTTGTTCTAAGGTGAGTATTTAGCTAATCTGCAGTGTTTTGAGCAGTCTGACATTATTTTCATAGTAAAAAATGTGTAACACTGAGTTTGCCAACTACCCGTTTTGAAGTTCAGCAGTAATGAGGGACATTCATGTCATCACATCCGTGTCATTGTGTTGTTTATGTTCCTCATCTCACAAAATGGGAGCTGCAACATTAAATAGTGCATAAATAAAATAGTACTCCCCAGATGCTGCACTTATTAAATAGTGCATAAATAAAATAGTACTCCCCAGATGCTGCAATTTTTATAAAAAGTACATAAATAAAATAGTACTCTCCAGATGCTGTAATTTTTATAAAAAGTACATAAATCAAATAGTACTCCCCCAGAACCATTGTTCTCTTTCGGGTTTCTATGCATTTCTCTAAGTACTTGGTTTAAGTGGCATCATATAGTATTAATCTTTCAGTTTATTTCATTTAGTTCACTATGTGATTCACTCATGTTTGAGCTGGTTATAGTGACATGTGCCTGCCTATATGTCTACACACACACACACACACACACACACACACACACACACACACTCAGCTTCTTGGGAGATTGAGGCAGGAAGATCACTTTCCTTTCAAGGGAATGGGAGCTAAGAAAACTTAGTAAGACCCTGACTCTTAAAAAATATATATAATAATCCATGTTATAATATGTGTCCTATGTTATAGTATGCATTAGAATTTCCTTCATGAATTTTAGGGCTGAATAAATTTCATTGCAGGGAACTATTGTATTTGCTGCATTTGTACATGTGTTGATAGGCAGTTGGGTTGTTTCTGTCTATTGGCTATTGTGAATAGTGCAGTTTTGAGAGAGAGAGAGAGAGAGTCAGTAGGGGGTAATGACAGGGTATTTAAGCAGATTGACTTTTCATACCATTGCATTCCTTATGGAATAGTTTGGAAGAAATAAACATCTTATATGGAAGGCAATCTCTGTGCTGTAGGAAGCTGGCTGTGGTGTGTTATGTTTTGGAGGATTCTCTAAGAAGTTAGTGCTAGCTAGGCAATGAGAAACCTAGGAGTATTCCTTCAGAATCCAAGTGGACATGCTATTCTCAATGTTGATGCTATGAAATATCTTTGAAACAACTTTTTGTTTAGACTTTCTCTTATACCTTCTCTCATCAGATCCCCCTTTCTACCATCATATTAAACTCTCAACATTTGGTGTACAATCATAACATTTTAAGAGAGGAGGGAACATTACCTCAGGACTATAGTTTCATTCTTTCAATTTAAATACTGTAAATCATCTCATTGCTGTGACAAAAAATTAGATGAGAAGAAGTTAAGAGAAGAAAGGTTCATGTTGGTTCATGGTTCAAGGGTTCAAATACACCATGGTGGAGAAGGCATGCTGGCAGAAGCTGGTCACATTGCATCCACAGACGGGGTGCAGGGAGGGATGAGTGAGTGCTATGCCTAGCCTTTTAGATCTTCTCCGTGTGGTCCAGGATCCCAGCACATGGAATGCTGTCACTCACGTCCAGGGTGGGTCTTTCCACTTCAGTTATCTAACCAATCCCTCACAGACATGGCCGTGGACCTGCCTTCTAGATGATTCCAGGTCCTATGGAATTGGTATCAATGTATATCACCACACAAACTCAAGAAAGTTAAATTTAGTGGTGAAGATACCACTAGAACCAGCATATCCTGAATTGTTTTTTTTTTTTTATCAATGTTATTTCTAATCTATTACAGTTCTTAGTTTTTTCATGATGGGTATGAAAGTTTCTATTTGTTATGTAAATGTATATAGTTATTAAGTTAAATAGTTAATTAAGATACTTATGTAAACCTAGTTGAAAATTTGTTAAAAATCAGAATATTTCCAAAAAGCTTAAAAATATAATTCCATGACTTGCATATGCCCACACAAGACACATACAGAAAGATAAATAAAAATTAAAAATAACTAAGCAGTTACAATGATGACTCATGTTTCAGTTTGGTATGTATTAAATAGTAAATTTATAAATATTTTGTACTCAATTATTATTCAAGTTTTTTATAATCTTGTATTTTAAATAGATACCTGACAGAATCTTATGGGACTGGTCAAGATATTGATGATAGAATTGTTGAAGGTATTGTTGATTTTTATCTTTTAATTAGGTATATCTGAAGTTAACTTAGAAGAATCTTTTTATCTGTGGTCTACAGTGCTTTTCTCCTAGAGGTGGAAAAGCCTTTCCATCTCCTATAAATCTTTGCTCATACTGTCTTCATACTGATCTAGTAACCAACCTATTGTCTTTCTCTGTGCCAGAGGCTTGTCTCCTAGGTGACCCTAGATCCTGTCTACTTGTCAATCAAAAGTAAAACCAGGACAGTAGGCGAACATTTAACACTTGTGGAATTTGACATTACTTGATAGTTCTTCCATATTAATATTTCTAAAAGCATTTATTCATCATTTCCTCCCATTTTTTTTCCCTGTGGAGATGTAATATGTATGTCGCTCCATAGTTTTTCCTCATGCCTTTCTTGTGACATTTTTGATGAGATGTTTTCTTTTCTTTTTGGATAGCTAACCCACTATTGGAAGCTTTTGGAAATGCAAAGACTGTTCGTAACAATAACAGCAGTCGATTTGGAAAGTTCGTGGAAATTCATTTCAATGAAAAGGTAAATGAAAGCTGCGTGTGGGATACATTTGGGAAATGTTTGTGGCAAGTGTAAGGGTCTTATTAGAATTTAATTAATACAGACAGTCCTTTCTGAGATTATTATTATTGTAATTATTATTGTGTGCGTGTATTTAGAATGACTTCAGAATTTCTATCAGTTTAAAATCAAAATATTGGATTTGGCTGCATTATCAATCAGCTTTGTAGTTAATTTTTTTCATATTTGATCCTTTTGTTGTTTTGATAATGGGATATTGTATATGTTCATGGGGTGCAACATGATAATAGTGATGCATGTATTTGTGGGTCTGTGTGGTCTGTAACGATGATGTCAGGGCAGTTAGTGTCTTCTCAGCATGAGGTGAGGGTGATGTAATATGAGAGCCTTCGGCACCCATCTGTGGGCCCACCACAAAGTCAGTTCGGATGCTGCAGAGGCTCCAAACCTAAAGGGTCAGGATGGAGACTGGAGAACAGTGTTTAAAATGAAGGATGAACTGTAGAAATACTCATTAGATATTTCTTTGCAATATTTGCTAAATATTTTAACTTCTTTGATAAGCAAATATTTATTAGAAAAGATAAAATGAACATTATGCTTTTTTCAATCCCATAAATGCAATAATCTATTTTCTCTCTTGTCTTTTAGAGCTCAGTTGTTGGAGGATTTGTTTCTCACTATCTCCTAGAGAAGTCTAGGATCTGTGTTCAAGGCAAAGAGGAGCGCAATTACCATATATTCTACAGGTTGTGCGCTGGGGCTTCAGAAGACATTAGGGAGAAGCTGCACTTGAGTTCCCCAGATAATTTTCGGGTAAGTTGAAGGAAAATAAATTTCACTTGAAGTTTGTAAATTGTTTATCCTCTCAGTGCTAAAACTCACTGTATTTTGATACCTAGTTGTATTTATACATAACTTACAGTAAGTGAAATACAGTGGGCTTCTGAATCTGCAGATTTTACATTTTAGGCTTAACTAATCATGAATTGACAACACTTGGGATGATAAAGAATACATCTATACTGAGCTTGTGTTAGTTCCCTATTATTTTTACTAAACAATAAGGGATAATATTCCTTCACAGAGCATTTATATTGTAGTAAGAATTATAAACAGTTTTCATGTAATTTGAAGTTTTTGATAGGCTGTGTATATGTAGATCGTGTACAAGTGTGATGCTGTTTTAAGGGGTTTGTAAACTTTGGATCTAGTATCCAGAAGGGGCCAAGGCATCGGTTCCCTGCAACTCCCATGGATACCTGAGATGTAACTAGATGATGTGTTAGAACTATAGTCTTTCCAATGAGATCTCTATTGAGATTTGGAAGTCTATTCGAGTTCAGTATCTCTGATATGAAATCCCCAGATCTCAAGCACTGTTCTTTGTAGTCTTAGATTTGTGATGCTCAGTTGGAAATTGAAAGCTTATGCAAATACTTTGAAGTGTAAGCAACTCTGAAATCTCAACCACTTTTCACAATACTTGAGATAAGTATTTCTCAACATGTATATCAGTATATGTAATTCAGTAGGTAAAAGGACAGATGTTTAAAACCTTATTAATTTAAACCCAATTACAAATTTATAAGGTTCTGTAATTCTAGCCTTGAAATTATCTTTAATGTAGCTGTAAAAACTGCGATCACTGAACCAATGTTAATAAAGAAAGCATCATTATACCCCTTAGTACAATTCAGCAATAAATACTTACTGCTGATTATTGGGTGCTAGACATCGTGCCAGGATTAAAAGATAAACAAGGCATTGTCTTGTTCCTGGGCAACTTAGAATGTGGTGGAAATGCACACACTGTCTGACTGTTACGATGGATGGGAAGAAACTATACATGTCTGCCCCACCCCAATGCTGTGATAATTAGGAGTTTGAAAATCCTGGTGGAAGAATTGATGCTTGATAGTATGGTGGTGGTGGTGGGGGAGGGCTTGAGAGGCTGCACCACGGTCAGGAGCACTGACTGCTATTGCAGAGGACCTGGGTTCAGCTCCCAGCATCCACATGATGGCTCACAGCCATCTGTAATGTCAGTCTGAGGGGATTTGACACCCTTCCTCTTCTGACCTCTGATTCTCAACTTAATTGGAATTTGAAGTTAATTGCTTATCATCTCTTCATGAAAACAGACAAGGCATTTTTTTTGCCTTTTTTTTTTAAAAAAAAAAGAAATACAAGCTGCTAGAAATCCCATGAATTATGATATATGTCTAGATTTTGCCAACACTTAGCTGGCCAGAAAGTCAAGTGACGACTACGGCTTTAATACAGTGTTTCTTTTTGTGTGGAGGCTTGGGATCGTACCATTTCAGGCTCAGAAGTTGCACCCTTTCCCGGCACAGAGAGGGCATCCTGCAAGGGCAGCTACCAAGAGCAACCAAAGGCTTTCCTGTCTTTGTGGTATGGACCAGCAGGATGGATTTCATTTCCTCTAGAGCAGTCTCAGTGGTGGCAGGTGTCATGTTACAAACAACCATACCTTTATCCCATTCCCCAAATATATATTCACTATAGATTATATGAAGGTGTTTTGATAATTTTATAAGGTTTTTTAAAAAATAGTCTGTCCTTATAATTTACTGATCAAATTATAAACACAAAGGCATAGCATGAATGCTTTCAAAATGGTTGAACTTTATTTTGTCATTACTTTATCCAAACGGATTCATAATTAAGAGATTTACTGGCTTAACATATTTGTATGAAATATATGTGTATCCTTCAAAATAAAGTTAAAAATGCTCAACATTATTATAAATTTAAAAATACTTTTATGTACTTTCAGGGAACATTTGGTGCAATCAGACAAAAATCCTGGAATATTAAGAAAATTGGTGTAGAATGACAATAGATGGCAAGGGCAGGTACTGACTCTTGCCATTGTAAAGCTGGAAGAAATAGTTCTCTTTCCTAGATCTTCACACTTGTGCAATTTTTGAGATTAATCCCAAGACCTTCTGCTGCATAGTAGGTTAATCCTGAGTTGCTAAATTTCACCTTCAGGTCCCTGGTTTTTGTTTGTTTCCTCAAGGCAGAGGCTGACCTTGAATTAACTATGTAGTCCTGTTCTTTCCCAGTGGATCCCATGTTAATTGTCCATCAATTCTCTGTTTTAGTATTTAAACCGAGGCTGCACTAGGTACTTCGCTAACAAAGAAACTGACAAGCAGATTTTACAGAACCGAAAAAGTCCTGAGGTACAGTAGATTATTTTTAATTAAAATCTTTAATGTAAAAATATTTGCTAATGGATATGTCTTTATTTTGGAACTTCTTGTTTCAGGTTTATGTTTTAAAATTGAATGGTGGTACAATTCTCTCTCTAAACCTCTGTCATATATAGAACAGCAGGCTCCTGTTCTCTATGAACCAAAATGCATTGCTTTCTTCATGTTCTTTTTTTGAATTTTTATGCTATGAAATTTCCTAGCAATCACCATATTTTAACAACCTACTTTGATATTACTATTACTAATTAAGAATATTTATATGTAAGCTTTCTACTGTTGTGACAAAATATATGAGCAAATTATTTTAAAGTGGGGAAGGTGTATTTTTACTCACAATTTTATATTTCAGTCCATGTCTAGTTTTAACAGGCTTTCTTTGGGCCACAAACCAGCTCCCAAACCATGACATAAAGACTTAATATTAGTTGTGAGTTCTTGGCCTTAGCTTGTGCTTGTCCCACTTGCTCTTTTAACTTAAATCAACCTGTTTCTCTTCATCTATGTTTTGCCTTGGGGCATTTCACCTTTCTTTCATTCTCTATGTCCTGTTTTCCTGCTTCCCCATGTCTGTCAGCTGCCTGTATGTCTGGCCCCAGGTGTGTCCCTTTCTTTGTTTTTCATTCTCTTTTCTCCCTCTTCTTCAGAGCCTAGATTCCTCCTACTTCTCTCTGCCCTCAAGCTCTGCCTATCGCTCTACTGCCTAGCTATTGGCCACTCAGTTTTTTATTAGACCAATCAGGTGCCTTAGGCAGGCAAGGTGAAACAGCACCACATCTTTACATAATTAAACAAATGCAGCATAAAGAAATGTAACACACCTGTACATAATTAAAGTCATATTCCACAACAAGTTAGTGATCGCCATGATTCTAGGCCATGGGGAGGCAGAATTCACAACAGAGGGTAGGTGGTTAGGTAAAACTGCTCACCTCCTGGTGGCCAGAAGTGAGTGGGAGGTGAGGTACAGGAAAGGAAAGAGAGAGAGTGTGTGTCAGGGACAAGGTAAAGACCACAAGCCCTCTAGTTCAGTCAGCCAAGTTTAGCTCATCACATTTTGAGCCCACCAGTGGATTAATCTCCTGGTGAGGACAGAGTCTTCATGATCCAGTCGCTTCCCCAAAGCCATCCTCTGAATACTGCTGCCTTGGGAACCGAGTCTTCCACACATGAGCCTTTGCAGGAACATCCCAACAGAAAGCATAAAGTATGCTTTTTAATTCACTGTCTACAGAAGGAAGAGCTGAAATAGTAAATACCTTAAGCATTCTTGTGAAAGGCTGTTCACATTATAGTTTTGCTGTATCAACCATATATTTGGGATATATTATGCAGTTTTATATATTTTGGTCTCATTAAATAACCTAAGAATTACATAATTATTATTTTAAGAACATCAAATGTTTAAGAATTTTAAACATTTATACATTTCATCCACAGAATTCAAGTAATCAGTTGTATTGTGTCTAAACCATGCACTTCAGTTATGAAAACTAAATCAGGATTGGTTATTGGTACTAGTTTATCTTAACTCTATTATTTTTAAAAATATTTATGTCAGCTGAGTACCTTTTTACTATTAGCAGTTTTTAATGGTTCTACACTTGCCAATCAGATGTTTTGACTTTACTCAGGCTGGGTAAGATAATTTATGTGTAAAATACATTAATATAAATGTATAGAAAGAAAATACAATTCTCATTTCAAATTATGAACACATGAAACTGCAGTTAATACTTGTTTAGTTTAATACTTGACATGTTGTTTTAGACATAGATATCTGAGTTCTTGGTAAACTTTATGTTACAGCCGTGGCTGAGACTTTTGGAAGCAACATCAACATTTATTATAGCATTTACTTTACTGCATCTTAAAAGACTATGTTTTTATAAGATGCCATCAAGATATATAAGTTGTAGTCTTTCTACTAAGGTAATCAAAACACATTCAGGACAATTGCAGTGGTCCTGCAGGGAAAACAAATAAAAACTGCTAAGGCATAGGCAAAAGCAGGAGCGAGAAGAGAAAGCCCCTGCTTACCCTCCAGAGAGTAGAAGGCATCTGCAGGGAGGAAAACATCATCTTTCCATGCTTTAGAGTGAGAATGCTTTATCAGAAATCTTACATCACTGAGAGAAATGTGCATGTGTATAATATATAAAGGTGAACAGTGTCTTAATATATCTAAATTACTTTTTATGTCTTCTTTGTCAGGAGGACGAGGTGATCATTTTGACTAATTAAACGCTTTGCTTCATTCTGTCTGGGTGTCTTTGTGCTGTGTGCAAATTTTAGGAGAATGCAGGATTTTCAGTCTGCCGTGAAGTCAATATGTTCATGAAGATTTGATTAGAAAACAGTATTTAAATGATGCAGATGCTCAGCTGCGAGACTAAAAATTCTGCATGATAGTGTTTCTTTAAACTTTGCATGCGGTTGTTGCTTTTGCTGCTTTTAAAGAATGAAATAGAATTTCCTTTTCTAGACATTTTCCGGAAATCTGGCACACAATCAGCCATTTAAAGCACCTTGTGAAAAGCAGGCAGACTGTTAACTCGAGAAATAGTTGCATGCTGGGACACGAGAAGCAGTTGCATGCTGAGAGAAGAAAACATCAGACAGCTTTAATTCTCATTAATTCTGATGCTGAGCTTCCTTATTTTAGTGTTAGCTTTTAATGCTCAAGTTCTGGAAAATTCCTAGATCAGTTTTTCTGTGTCTAGTAACTTCTCTTTTTGTTACATCTTTTTGCTTTGCAGGCCTAACTTTCATCATTCTCTGTCCGAGTTTGTTAGATCCTAACATAGGAATACTTGAGATGCATTTTTTAGGAGAGAAAACAGATCTCTCTCTCTCTCTCTCTCTCTCTCTCTCTCTCTCTCTCTCTCTCTCTCTCTCACATTCAGAAAACCATTGCATTTCCCTAATGTGTAGTAACTCACCTCATCTCATACATATAATATAGAAAAATTACAAGACTATTTTTCAGGCCATGGAGATGCTGTTGTCTTGTCTCGATTTGCCTGTGTATATGATATAATTGTCAGTAGTTAACATAGTGCCATGCTTATTGGCACATTAAATTATTTATTATAATTATTTTCACTTGTCCTATTTTTCATATTTATTTTTAACTGACAAAATTGCATATATTTCTAACCTACATGGGTCATCATGGAACATTTTCTCATTGTATAAATTGTGGATTAACAGATGAGTGAGCATATTTATTACTATTTTATTTCTTTTTTTTTTTGATCTGAGGCTGTTGCTTCATTTCAGCCAGCATTCTTTCCCCTTTCACTAATTTGTATTTATCTCATATCCTCGACTTACAATACATTAGCCTTAGCATCCTACTTTAGCTGCAAAACATCTTATTCCATTGAAAAAAATTGTAGGTACACATTAAGTTTTAAGAAATAGTACAGAGAGCTCTTGCATACCCTTTATATACCATTCTGTTTTTGAATGTGCTGAAATGCTTACATTTTTCTGTTGACAGATTTTATTTTTGCATGTTGTATATTGCATTAACAGACCTTCTGTTGTAGCTTGTAGTTTACCTGAATCACGTAAAGACCAGTCAGTTGATACCCTCTTGCTTTATAGTATGTTAAGGCAGGTTCCCTGAAAGACCCTCTGTTAGATGACCATGGAGATTTTATTAGGATGTGCACAGCCATGAAAAAGATTGGTTTGGATGACGAAGAAAAACTTGATCTGTTCCGAGTCGTAGCTGGTGTCCTGCACCTTGGAAATATTGATTTTGAGGAAGCCGGAAGCACTTCAGGTTGTTTCTTTACATTTTTAACTAAGGAATAAAATTGAGTATAATGTTTGTCATTTCCTAGCCATATGAATGCTCAGTCATTTGTGTGTAGGTTTGTTAAAATTAGAAAAAATTTCTGGGACATCCTCTGTTATGTGGTGATCTGGCAGATGGAGAAATTGTTTTGAACAAATTAGTAGCTATTATGTGATTTGTGCTTAAAAAATTTCCAGCTAATATTGTACTTTTCATACTTAATGGAATATTTTTTATCTGTTAATATATGTTTTTACTCTCTCTGTTTCACAGATCTAAGCTTGAATAAGTTAATTGGGGTAATTTAATATACAACAGCCTATTTTCTAGTCGGAGATAAAAATAAAAGTTTTATTCTTATGGAAGCTGAAAAGTATTTAAATTCAACCAAAATAGTAACTTTTAGTTTTAATGTTACCATTTCTATAGAAACAACAAGTCTTTTTATATAATTACAAGTTTGATATCTGAATATAGAATTGACAAATCTTGCCCATCACTTGTTTTTGTAAGTAACATTTTAGTGGACTATGGCTCCTCCCACCGTCTGTGTATTGTCTGTGCCAGCATGCATGCTCCAGGGTAAAGCTGTGCTCCTCGGGGACTTTGCCATATGAAACCAAAAGACTTATGACTTCCTCCCGTAGAGTAAAACATTTACTAGCCCTGCATGAATACATTTTGCTCGAAACTTACATCAAGGATGCCTTAAGAGCCTGAAGCCTCACTTAACACAGCAGCCAATACTATGGGTTTTGGTGTCAGATCGCAGAGCTGTACTCATTTCCAAAATGGGATAATCCATAAGTGCTTTTAAAAAGTACAATTCCTAGTAATAGTATATATATATAAAGGGGGCCTCAGAGAAAGCAGGAAAGACCATTAAAGAAACAATGTGTTGGACTCATGATTACCTCAGTGTAATGGAGTACTTCCCCAGCCCTCACCTTTTCCCATCTCTCCCTATTTTTAAAATTTGAAGTGGTTTTTTTTTTAAATGTATGAGTATATGTACACTACATATGTGCCTGGTACCTATAGGAGCCATAAGAGGGTGATAGATCCGATGGAACTGGAATTACAGGCAGTTGTGAGCCACTTTGTGGGTGCTGGAAACTGAACCTGGGTTCTCTGCAAGAACAGAAAGTGCTCTTAATTATTGAGCCGATTCTCCAGCAACCTTTCTCCCCCTTTTGGAGACAGGTCTCATATAGTCTAGGCTGACCTCAAGGTGATTGTCCAGCCTTCACCCCCCAAGTTCTGGGGTAACAGGTATGTGCCATGATACTCAGCTTTCTTAGTCTTTTTGAGGCCCTAAGTGTGATCCCAAGCACTTGGCGGGAAGATGTCTTCTGTGCATAAGATCCTTCATAATCATAACTGAAACATAAAAATGATGAGATAGGACGTGCCTCCATTTTGCAGATATGGAACAGGCACAGTGGCGCTGAGCATGGCTACGAATGAAGTCGTAGACAGAAGAGCCTGGTTGTATTCATGTCTGACTGGCTCGGGAGATGGTCATAACTGTCTCTCATTACCTTCTGGCCACTGAGCCTTGCCATCTGTGAGTGAGCAGACTAAGATGGACAGTCTTCAATGACTTTCAGCTCTGTTGTCCTGTGATCTGTGAAGTCAATAATGTTAGACACAACATGGTGCAATGGCTGGGCACATGGCCATCAATCGAATTCTTCCATCATGTGCTGTCTGCTTGTATGACCTTGCCCATTCCGGGTCTTCATTTCCTCACTATAAAGAGATAGTACCCACAAGTAGTTACAAGATGTTTGAATACTGGTGTTTGGCGGATAGTAAGTGAATAAATCCAACAATGTACAGATGATTAGTCACTGAACTGAAGATGCATTAAAAATTAGGTACTTGGAATATGTATGAATAACTTTTAGAGGTTTTTTTTTTAAGAGAGGAATTGGAAAATGTGTTGCATCATATATTTTATTTGTATTATAGCATTGTTTTAGGAAGGGAGCTGTGGGAGAGGCTAAATAATACACAAAAATTAAGTGTAGAATAGTCGATGTACATGCGAATGTTAGAAGTGTGGTAAGTGGCACTTTTCTATCTCTTATTGCTGCCCCGAGGAAGAACATGTAGCTATATAGAATATCCCAAGCATCATGTGACCAGCTGGAGCTTGCTAAGTGACCAAAAGGGGCATAGTTTGTGCTTGTTTTTTCTCCTACTTAAAAAAAAAATTCTTTCTGTTGCGAGAGAAAACAGAATGCAGGGGAGATTGGGGTGAGAAAAGCATTAGATCATTTTTATTTTCATAGCTAAACCTTTGTTGTATTAATCCTCATTTTTTTCTGTGACTTCCCTTGGATCTAAATCATTGGTTGCTAATTAAAAACGAGGTGTTCTTTTTGTCTTCTAGAAAATTTAGTGTAGGATTGTCATAGTGACTTGCACAGAAACCCAGTACTTTCATAATGGTTTTACCATAAAGTTCATTTTCCAATAAATGTTTGTAAAGCTCCCCAATGTTACAAAACTGTTTTATTTAGTGGACATATAGAAAATAGGACTGCCTATGTTTTAAGAATCCCATGTAACAAGTATGTCATAACAGTAACAATATCACAATAAGCAACATAGCAGTAATAAAAACATTTAGGGAATGTTTTTAGGGAGTGACATGAATGCTCTGCATTATTTTATATTTTTCAAAGATTAAAAAAGGATTCCATATGTTAACTACCTAGTTCTTGTAAAAATGCTGTAATATGGTAAAAAAGAAGAAACATTTAAGTAAACTAATGGAATCCTGGTGGCCACTGTGTCAGAGACAGGGATTATAGTCTTGACAGGATGGCAGGAGATTCTGTCTCACTGTTCAGAAGAATGCACAAGTTAAAACTTAGGAATTGTTTATTTCTGGACATTTCCAGAATAGCTTTGCCTCAGGATGGCACCAGGTAGCAGAAAGGGTGGGTGACTCTAATGGCAGGAAGGGTTTCTCATACCGCAGCTTTGCCCCAGGTTAGGATTTCCTGTTTATCTTGTTGGTAGGGGCATCTAACAAGGATGAAAAAAAAAAAAAAAAGCTGTGTTTGAAAGTTTGGAGTAAGCCTCGTCTATCCCATAATATTACATAAGTGAATAAAATCCTAAGAAATGAATCTAGGTAATCTTGTTTAGTGCTTGTTAATTTCACACTGAAACGTTCCCATTAGGTGGCTGTAATCTGAAGAACAAATCAGCCCCATCTTTGGAATATTGTGCGGAACTGCTGGGGTTGGACCAGGATGATCTGCGAGTCAGTTTAACCACGAGAGTCATGCTCACCACAGCAGGGGGCACCAAAGGAACGGTTATAAAGTGAGTTCTACCGCATGGCTCCTGCCTTGTGGCGTGTCAAGAGAAACCGTGTGTGTTTTGCAAACACTGAGATGTAAGGTCAATGTTTATGCATCATTCATTCTTCCCATTTCAATGTTCAAGCTGTGCTTGATGGATCAAAATTCCGTGCCGCCAGCGACTGCAGTTCACCACACAAATAAGTGGGGGTTTGCACAGCATGGAGCTGTTTCTGGCAGATATTCTGCGGGACACAAATATGGAATTGATTAGGCAAGGGAGGTTTGCTTTGGTGCAGCTGTAAAAATGTGAGTTGGGTTTAAAATATCTGATTGTTTGAGGCAAGAGATCATTTTCTTCAAAAGTGGTTTTCCACGCAAATGGTGTGTGCTTGCGCTATTCCTGAGTGTGACTCGTCTATGGAATGTTCAGGAAGCTGCACTTTGCACTTAGTTTTGCATTTAGAGGAGGTTGCAAGTGAAATAAATAAGGCTCTAGCCAAGCTTTTGTTTTAATTTCTTGTCCCCCAGGAGGCATTTATTCAGTTGTGTTATGTGTGAGTGTGATGTTTGCACACGTGAGGGCGGCTGGGTACAGACTGTGTGCACTTGGTACCTGTGTACTTGTGTGTGTGGAGGTTAGAGGCTGGCGCGGGTATCTTTCTCAATCATTCTCTACCTCATCTTTTGAGACAAGGTTTCTCATTAAGCCTAGAGCTCATCAGTTGGGCTGGGCTGGAGACTCTCTCCACAGTGGGGTCACAGAGGCTGTCACTACACCCAGCCTGTACATGCATGCTGATGATGATCCCAGCTAGCCCCCGCTAAGACTTTTAAAAACTTCAGATTGTACAAGATTATACAGTTTTAGCTTACTAATGTATATTTTGTGAATTTTAGTTTTGGATACTGTAGAATAAAATTGATACTTAGGCTTACCATTCTCAGGTACTGTAATGTGAGGTCTTTACTTCTGAGGAAAAAGTCAAGTCCCTATCCTTTTCTTAATACAACAGAAATGAGCTCAGGTGACTTACTCAGAAAAGTATTTAACAGTTAAAACAAAGCCAGGCGTGGAGACACAAGCCTGTAATCCTAGCATTTGGCGGGTTGAGACAGGAAGATGACATCATGAGGCTAGCCTGATACATAGAAAGACCCTGTCTCAAAACCCAACAACAACCAAAAATTATGAAACATTTTCTTCTTGTGATATAGTATTTTAAATTAACGAATTAGCCAATTAATTGTGTTTTAGTATCACTGCCATTTAGGGTGGGTCTTCCTGCTTAAATAATCTCACCAATAAAAATCCCTAATGGGTGCCCCACAGCTCATGCTGTAGTTGATCCCAGATGTGGTCACACTGACAGCTCTGATTATCCAGATGCTTTGTCTGATATTTTTATTTTATTAATTTTGTGTGTGTTATGGGGAGGTGAGAAGTACATGTGCCATGGGACATGTGTGGAGGTCAGAGGACAACTCTGACCAGAGGATCTTACTCTATAGACCAGGCTGCCTAGAACTCAGAGATCCTCCTGACTCTGCCTCCTGAGTGCTGGGATTAAAGGTGTGTACTTGAATAATTTCTAAAGATACTAAAAAATTGGTCATTTTTTGTGTTTTCCCAGTACTTAGTACTTTTTGTGTTTCCCATTACTACTCAGTATTTAGGGCCAAGCTTGGCATTTGGAAGTTCTCCTCTACAATATTCTCTTTTTATTATATTCTAATTTTATTGAGAAAAATAGTTTGCATATGTGTCTACAGTGTCGAATGTCATCATCCATATAGCTGCTACATACAGGAGTAATTGGAAAATTCAAAATTTAAGATTCAGTATTTTTTTTGTTAAATAAGTTTAAAGTTTAAAACTTTAAAGTTTCCCTGAATTATACATAATCTGTTTCATGTACTAGAAAAGTGAAATATGAAAATTATTTTAGTATATAAAGTGGGGTGTAGATGAAGGTTAAATTTTTTTTTTTTTTATTTTCGAGACAGGGTTTCTCCGTAGCTTTTTGGTTCCTGTCCTGGAACTAGCTCTTGTAGACCAATGGTTTTTAAGGCATTTTTTGCCCCATAGTATATTTTAGTCTAATTTTAATTAAGAGTTTTAGTTTGTCTCTTGTAATTTTGTCCTTATTTTAGCTCTACCTGTTCACCGGAAGCTTGGCAGCTGTTTCTCATAGCCAGTGTGTCAGATACACTTTGACTTTATGTATCTGGCATTATTGTCACAGACTGTCACTTTAAGGACTTTTCATTGGAATATTCCTTTCCCCGCTAGGGTTCCTCTGAAAGTGGAGCAAGCGAACAATGCCCGCGATGCTCTGGCGAAGACTGTCTACAGCCATCTTTTTGATCACGTGGTCAACAGAGTGAATCAGTGTTTTCCTTTTGAAACATCGTCCTATTTTATTGGAGTCCTGGATATTGCTGGTTTTGGTAAGTATCATTTCCTTTCTTAATTTGTATGTCAGGACTTCACTCCAATCCCCCGTTTTCAGATTCCATGTTGAGGAGACACCTGTTGTGTCCTGCCCGACTGGTCTCTATGTTCCAGAGGAGGGGAATATGAATTGAGGAACGAAATAGACAAGAGACAACTGATAGTCGGAAGGGTTTCCAGTAAATACTGTGGTCAAAAGCAAAAAGCCAAAAAAAGCCAAAAAGCCCCAAGTTTAATATTCTCAATCCTTATATACCCCTAACAGAAGGGGCGGGCACAAGACTCCCATGATACAAAGAGCCGGCAAGCATAAATCGTAATTACCTCCTTACATCTCGGAACACTTAGTAACCACTCCCTAAGTCAAAACATCCTGTTGACTGGCCTTTGAAGAGTAGGGCATCCAGTAGCCACGCCTTTGGTGGAACAGCTTGTTCATCCTTGTGGAGCAAGAATAGGTGTGTACTCTCCTGACCTTTAGCCGAGATGGAACACAACAAACTGTGGGCCCTCACATTTGACTTTGATATTTTTTTACAAATATAAAAATGTTTTCTCTAAAGCTGTTGTTTAGCCTTTCCCATTGCTATGACCCAACACCAGGGAGAAGCTAAAGAAGGCAGTGTTTATCCTGGCTTGAGGGTTCAGAGTTTTCAGTCCACCATGGTGGAGCAGGAAAAAGAAGAAGGAAAAGGGGAGGCGGAGGATATGACTATATTTGGTAGATTTCTGATCCCCCCCACCCCCATTGCATTTGTTGTCTTGTGGATTCTAGACATAATCCAACCCTTAACTTGAAGAAAAATTATGATCATAACATTTTTGGGTAATGGATTAAGCAGGAATAATATCTCCTAGCACACAGGATTTTAAATCACATTTATACTTTAGGTTGTTTTAGTACCTATGCTGTAGAAATTTATGTTAGAGAGAGTTGACTTCTAACGTTTTAATTTTTCACTATAAACATTTGTGTCGTTAGACACATTTTGGTTCTGGCAGAACAAGGTATTTCTGAGTATAGTACATAAACTATGTCTTGAGGACATTTTTGGGGACTGACACAGGACAAAGAATTTTATGTATTTTGCAAACCCAATTTTAAATCAAAACATCGACAGAGTTCCTACACTTTATCCTGGGATAAGTTAGTGAACGTCGTTGTTGGGTGGTGACAACTCTGCTCTGGTTTTATGTTTTCAGAGTACTTTGAGCACAACAGCTTTGAACAGTTTTGTATTAACTATTGCAATGAGAAACTCCAACAGTTTTTTAACGAAAGGATCCTGAAGGAGGTGAGTACCGTCATCACTTAGATTAAGATCTGCTTTAAGCTGCCTAAATCTCAAGGAAGACAGTCATGATGCAATTACCCTGACTGACGGGGTCTGGTGTGGAGTGGCCTGGTGGTCCGGCAGGCACTAGCAGCTCAGCTGAAGTTTGGGGTCGGTCGCTGGAGGAATCAGTCGACAGCTTCGCAGAATCGGGTGTCTGTGATTTCTTACCAGTGACTTTCTTTAGTGAGCCCAGCTTGTGTTTTTCATCCTGATCTGCCGTCTCTATTCCTGCCACTGCTAAACAGCTGCCTGCTCTCATCTCTGGCCTTGGCCTCTGCTGTCCTCTCAGTGTCTGCTTCTGTTGACTCTGCCACTTGTTCGTCCTCTCCCTATGCGCCACACAGACACCAGTTAGGAGATTCTGAGCAGCCACTGGCCAGGAGTACCTCTGGATAGCACTTCTCCTTCTGTGGGCTGTCTTTGATGGGCTGCCATTTCTTCTCCAGGCAGGAACTTCCTTCCTCTTCCCTCAGTATGTAACTCTGGGCATGGCTGATGTTCAGAATAGACTAACAGAAGTTATTTTATGATTCTTTACAGTTTAGTCAAGCAAAGTTAGCTTTGGGTAGATTGATTTGTTCAAAGGATCATTATTTTCTTCTCCAATCTTTTCTACCAATGCCTTTTTTTCCTCCCTCTATACCATCTGAGACAGGCTGTGCTGATTGAAGATGCTAGAAGAGAGGGACTAGAAAGTTTCTCCAAGGCAGCCCTACATTGTTCAGGTGAAGAAGGCGGGTCCTGGGAGCGTTTCCCAGGTTTTCTAGGCTTGAATCTCTTTCATGGGCCGTTGGCCCACACCCTGGACTTCCTTTGCTTCAGCATTGTCATTCCTAGTATCTGAGCTGAAAAATGCAGTTTTGTTTTCCCCCCTCATTCCAATCTCAACTGTTTTTCCCAAAATTTTGTTGTTTTTGTCTTTACAGTTTCTTTTATCACATTGCAGCTTTTGTCCATTTAAAGTAGGCTGTAGTTAATCAGTCGCAGCGTAAGCAAATGAGTAAAGCAAGTATTTCCCTGTAGGACAGTGTCTACGATCTATTCAGCTGTTAGTTTTTCCTTTGTGGTACAATCACACTTGCTTGCTTTGTTTTTAATATGCCATATGCTCCCTTTCCATACCATCCCAGCTCACACTCTATACACTCTATGAAAAATAGAAACCATGTAAACAGGGTGCACCATCTTTATGCTTGCTTTTATTACAGTCATTTAAGTATACACATTAATTTTAAATTCATACTGGGTCCAAGTTAATAGTACCTTCTAGAATGTGAGGAAACTTCTCTGGTTTAGGTTGTGAGGAGAAATATTTAACCATTGAGGAAAAAGCAATATTAGAACTTAGCTTAAGTTCAATGTATAGGCTACCCATATGATAAAAAAATCTTCAAAAATTATTTTAAGAAGATACTGACCTTATACAGAGAGAGTATATTTTCATAGAGATATTATTGGTGTAACATTCTTCCGAGTTATTTATGTTATTTTGCTGTGGAGTCCCTGGATCCATTTATAGTTATGTGCTATTTCCTGATTTTGGTGTTTGGCTAAAAGCATTCAAACTTGGTCTCATCTTGAGGAAGTCATTTAGGGCTCTACCTGTGGGTAAAATTTGTACCTTTTAACCAGTAACTGTTGTGTAGGAACGACAGCAGCAGCATTTTACGTCGCAGTGTATTTCCATGCTGATGACTATTCCATTTGATTTACAGGAGCAAGAGCTCTATCAGAAAGAGGGCCTGGGTGTGAATGAAGTGCATTACGTGGACAATCAGGACTGCATAGGTACGGGTACTGCTATTCTGCCTTTGGGAGGTATGGGAGAGACCACGAATGCCTTTCCTGGGAACATCTCTGTGTTCCGTGGTTTAGACACTAGTTACAGGACTTGGGACTGTGGCCTTGGAGAGGTCAACTTTTTAGGTCAACTCTTCCTGGCAAGGCACTTTGATCAGCTTTGTTGAAAATTTTCTTAAAATCTCTGATTTTTGTGATATGTATTTTACTAGTCAGAAGAACTGGGTAAGGGGAGCTCTACTCCTCAGGGGGCAAGCTGACAGCTATGTCAGCTCCTATGATAAAGTACTTAGTTTGGTGAGGTTTGTCTGGGTCTCTTGGTTCTGTCTTCTGTGGACTGGCTGATTCTCTCACTGGTTGCAAGTTGACTTTAGATATTCCATGTTAAATCTAGATACTATTGTGTCACAGCAGAACAAGGCCTCTGCTTTTCTTTGAGTTTGTCAATAAGGAAGCCGTATCCTATTGCTTTCCAGCTACCCCTTTGTCTGTTATTTATTTATTTATATTTATTTGCATGAATGTTTTGCCTGCTTGTATGTCTGTGAACCACATTCATGCCTGGTGTTTACAGAGGCCAAAAGAGGGCATCTGATCTCTGGGACTGGAGTTAAAGATGGTTGTAAGCTGCTGGTGGGTGCTGGGACTTGAACCCAGGTCCTTTTAGTCACCGGGCCATCCCTCTCTCTCCTATCCTCTTTCTTTTCTCTCCCACCCCATCTCTAAAATCAAGTGCTGGGCAAGTCTGGGAGTTGAAAACCCAATTTGATAGTTCAGTCAATAACTCGTATGCTAGACTTTGACAACACAATATAGTAGCCGTATCACTTTATATCACAGTAGCCTTTCAAAGGCTTTCCTGGTCTACCCTGGTCTACCCTGCTCTACTCAGTAGCCTTTACCCACTGCTGCTTTTCCCATCTCTGACCCTTGGCTGTGGGGTTTTTATCTTGCTGGAGTTTCTCCCCCTCTGTTGATCCTTTGTCCCTCTTCTGTCTCATTCAGTTCCCTACTGGGATACTTTCATTCACAGCTCAGGTCAGCTTGTTCATCCTCCTTCCTCACCAAATTTCAAAGAGGTATCTTTTTCTGTTTGATGCAATGGGAACCTTGACTTTTCTTTCTGTATTCTGGAACTGTATTTCAACCCCCCCACATTCACACACATATATGTGGGTGTGTATACATATATATTATTTTATTTAAGATGTTTAAAATATATAGTTATTTTGGTTAGGCAGAAAAATCTAACCAACATAAAGGGTGGAGCATAAAAATATATCATTACTAAAAATTATGTTTGAAAGTTTTAAAATCAGTTTTTGAAAATAGTATTAAGAAACTCTGTATGCAAAAACTTCTGTATTTTTGAGCTTGAATGTAGATGTCATCTGGAAAAGGGTGAGGTTCTGGGTCCTTAGACTGTTACCCTAGTGTACACAAAGAATGCTTATGGTATCAGTTACTTTCTTTGAAAAAAATTAAAAATGTTTTAGATTGGAGTAGTTACATCACTTTCCCCTTCCCTTTCCTCCCTCCAACCCTTCCAACCACCTTCCCTGAAACTTCTTCCATGTTTTTTCCAAGTTGATAAACTTTTTTCTTTATTATTATTATACATGTACATACACACACATAACCTGCTGGTCCATTTTGTTGTTTGTATACAGTATATTGCTTCAAGACTGACTACTCTGAATTGAACAACCAATAAAGGGGTTTACTTCTGGGAGAGGCTAAATCTCCTTCCAGAACTCATTAGTTGTCTGTAGTTCTTTGTTTAGGGATGGAACTACACAAAAATTTCCCCCTTCTACATTAATGTATCTGCTGATATTGCTACTGTTCCAGTCTTGTTTATGCAGCCATTTCTAGGAGAGACAGCTCCACAGCAGACTTCCTGGCATTCTGACTCTTACAGTCCCTCACCCCCTCTGTGACATTCTTGGGGCCATAGATACAGGAGCTGAATGGTCACTTCTTTGTGAAGTTGGTTTTTTTTTTCAAAACTTGTATTAAAACTATCATATTAGCTTTAACTAAATGGTTCTATTTGAAATGAAAACTCTCCCATTTCTAGACAGTCCTCAATAGAATATGTTCATCATTCACTCTTACCTTGTTTCCAAATGCTTTTCAAAGTGGAGTAAATATTTTTTAAAGTATTGATTCACACTATGACTGTTTTGATGTCTTGAAATAGATTTAATTGAAGTGAAATTGGTGGGAATCCTGGATATTCTGGATGAAGAAAATCGTCTCCCCCAGCCGAGTGACCAGCATTTCACATCAGCGGTCCACCAGAAGCACAAGGACCATTTCCGACTCTCTGTGAGTTTGCCATTCCAAATTGGAGCTTCTTCTGGGAAGAGAAGTCTTTAAGCAAACAGCTGCAATAGATTTCAGCTAGAGTAAAGTTATCCAACGACTAGAGCAAGTAGGGTATAACCAGCAAACATTTCCTATAGATGGCCATAAAAGGATGTGTGTGCGTGCACACATGTGGTCCACACACTTATTTGAGAGTAAAGCTTTAGCTGAGTGTGGTAGCTCATGTACCCAGAGAGGGAAATGATGCTGCACTGGTAGGAAGATCAGGTAGTGTAGAGGGAAGAAGAGACATATGTGCCCAGGTTGCTGAACAGCTATTGGGTCTTGAGTCCTTTTGGAGTGAAAGTGGAGCTGTTCTCTGTGACCCTGGCATTTGTGGCTGTTTAGACAGTGTTCTGTGTTCCTCCAACACTGTGCTTGTCCCTCCACTCAGCCATCATCTCCTGAGACAAGGCAGACGTAGCTTCACCCTGAGTGCACAAAGCCCGAGCAGCACAGAATTGCTGACTTGAGTTCCAGTCATGAAGGTAGATCCTGCTTCGTGGCAGGGAGAAGAGCAGCAGGGCTCTCCCCACTTCCCTCAAAAGAAGACAAAAAAAGAAACGAGAGAAGCTGCTTAGAGTTGCTTAGGGCTTAGGGTACAAGTTTGCAAGTGTATCCACTCATCCTCTGTGTTTTGAAGTTGTGAGATAGTGTAGTGGTCACTGCTTTGATGAGTCAAGCTGCTTAAATGAATGGTAACAAAGATGCTCATTTGTGTTCCTTATTAGCAGAATGACAGTGCATATACACACCAAATGTTACTGCAGCCCATTAACATGTTAAAAGAGAGGCAAAGACAATTTAAAATCCAATAAAAAATTGACAAAACATCAGTGGGATATAGATTCAATGGCTTACTGGAAAAATACATGTTCAGGTCCTCAGAACCACCTTTTCTATTAGCCCACATGTATTAGCTCTTACATGTCCCCAGGAGTTAGCATAATGGGCAGCCTGCTTCAAGTGCTTTGGTGGGAAGCAGCAGAACACTATGTCTTCTTGACAAAACTTTGGCTAATATTGAAGCTGCGTAGCCAGTCTTGTGTGTTTATGGCTGTTTGGTGTATGGTCTATGATGCATGGTTGCCTCACCAAGAGTGCTGATCTCGGCCAGTATAACTGTGCCCAGCGTAATCCCAGAGGTGTGTAACTTAAAGACAGCAAGCTCAAACATCAGGAATGAGGCCCGGCTGCTTTTCTCAGGAAGAACAAGCAAGAACACAGCAATAAATCCTGATTTACATAGGCCATTAGTTTTGCTGGGTTTTTTAACTAAGTGTGATGGGCATTCATGGAACACTATATGCATTGTCCCAGTGCTTTTACTTGAATGACTTTATTTAATCCTATTAGTATCCTTATATACAGATGAGAGACAGATGAGGGAGGTGGATGGCATGCCTTGGTGGCATGTGAGGCTTGGTGGCTTAGGAGGCAGGCAAGGTGGTATAGCAGCAGAACCTTCATTCTGGCTCCTGAGTGATTGCCCGTTCTCTGTTCTAAGGGCTCTGACCTCGGGTCCACGGCTTAGTCTGTCTATTCTAAATGGCATGGTCTCCTTCCCCTTGGGTTAGTTTTAGAGACAGATGTGATCACATATGTGGAAGTAGTTTGGAAAGTTTAAATAATTCAAATATGTGATTCTGTAGTTAAATGTTGCCATCCTAAAATGTCATAGTTTCCTTGAAGTGGTTCCGGGCTCACTGTGTAGAGTGTTAGAGACACCAGAAGTGTCCTGTGCTGACCTCGTGGTTTTCTTCCTGGCCACACTTCAGAATCAGCCTATCTAAATACCTTGGGGGTAAGGGAGGTTTAGATCCTTGAGTGATTCTGATGAGTATGAAGACTGAGCTTTAGAAGCAGGTGGTTAATTTTAGAAAATTTGCAACTCTGTTTGGTGTTTGCTTTCAAATAAACTTTTACTTTTAAAAAGATTTTATTTTTATATGTGTCCCTGGGTGAATATGTGCATATCAGGGTAGCACCTGCAGAGTCCAGAGAAAGATGTCAGATCACATAGAGATGCAGTGATTTTGGGCTGCCAGACATGGGTGCCAGAAGCCAAACTCAAGTCCTCTGGAAGGATAGGAAGTACCCTTAACCAAGTTTTTTTTTATATATTTATTTATTTATTATGTATAAAATATTCTGTCTGTGTGTATGCCTGCGGCCAGAAGAGGGCACCAGACCTCATTACAGATGGCTGTGAGCCACCATGTGGTTGCTGGGAATTGAACTCAGGACCTTTGGAAGAACAGGCAATGCTCTTAACCACTGAGCCATCTCTCCCGCCCCCCTTAACCAAGTTTTTATGTGTGGCATGCATGAATGTGTATTTGTTTTGTATGTGGCATTCATCCATATGTGTACATTTTGTGTATGGCATTCATGCATGTATATGTTTTATGTGTGGCACATGTGTATGTATGTGTATTTTTTGTGCGGCAGGTGTGTGTATATGCTTTACGTGTGGCATTCATACATGTTTGTATGTCTTGTGCGTGACAGGCATGCATGTGTATATGTTTTGTATGTGACAAGTGTACATGTATATGTTTTGTATGCAGCAAGTGTGCATGTGTGTATGCTTTTTGTACGGCAGGTATGCGAGTGTATATTTTGTGTGCAGGAGGTATGCATATGCATATGTTTTTGTGTTGCAGGCATGTGTACATATATTTTGTGTGTGGCATGTGTGCATGTATGTATGTTTTGCATGTAGGAGTTGTACATGTGTGTATGTTTTATTGTGACAGGCATGTGTGTATGTTTCCTGTAGAGCAGGTGTAAATTTGTATGTTTTGGTATTATAACAATTTTTTTCACTAAGACATAAGTAACTGTCGATTAAATTCCACAAGTACTTTAAAGTCTATTTGTCATTTAAAAGTAGTGTAATTATGAATAATGTGAAATTCTTTTATTACTTTTGGTACTCTGTATCTGGCATTGTCTAAGGAAAGTGACTGACTGTTTTGGTGAAGCGGTGACTTCTCTCTGTACTCTTCCCTTAGATTCCCAGGAAGTCTAAGCTGGCCGTCCACAGGAACCTGAGAGATGACGAGGGTTTCATCATCCGGCACTTCGCAGGGGCAGTGTGCTACGAGACGGTGAGTGCGGCCTTGCCACTGCTCGGGAGAAAGCAGCTGACACCGAGCTGCACTGCCCTGGGGTAGGCTCTGGGCATTTAAACCTGAACAGCTTCTGAAATTCAGTTCCTTGATGCGCTGGTCACCCTCAAAGTGCAAAATACCCACACTGTAGTGGCGGGTCAGTAGGGAAAGGGAATATTTGCGTTTTCTTAGAAAGTTCCATAGGACAGAACTCAGTTAGGGGATGTTTATCACAAAGCAGATGGAAACACTTTATTTGATTTTTTTTCAGACCCAGTTTGTGGAGAAAAATAATGACGCACTACATATGTCTCTTGAATCCTTGATTTGCGAATCCAGGGATAAGTTTATACGGGCCTTATTCGAATCATCCACCAATAACAGCAAAGATACAAAACAAAAGGCAGGAAAACTCAGCTTCATCAGCGTGGGAAACAAGTTTAAGGTATTTGTGCTAAATAACTCATTGAAGGGTTTTTGGTTTTTGTGGTGTGTTTGGGCTGTTTTGTATTGTGAGGTGGATAACGTAGACGATGGAAGTGCCACAGGCGTGTCTCAAGAGACGACCCTGCGTTATCAGTGCTTGTATGTACGATCTAATTGTGGTTGTAGTAAGCGAGTATACAGAAAGGCTTGTATTTTCAGACTGTGTTTGCACACAGCCTATCTGATTAATCCTCCTAAGGGTCTTGCTTCTGCATACTGCCTGGGTGACCTGCAATCTTCTCTTTCCCACGTGTTTTCTGTTTCCTTCCTCATCCAGCAGTTTTGTTTAGCTGCAGTAGTTCAGCTCGGGATGGCTAGAGAGGACTAGGTGAGTTGAGAGCAAAAGCAGGCACATCCGGGGCTTCAGGTAAATGATCACCTTCACAGACTTCTGTGCACAGCATGGCTGCTATGTTAAAGTGCCCGTCTCAAGTTCACGGTTCAGCTTGTGATTCATTGTCAACCCATTTCCTCTCACGGCATCATGGGCATGTGTGTTACAGTAAACTTGAGTTAAAGCTTTGGATAGCTTCTATAAAAGAGAAGCGTTCTGGGGTGGCAGACTCTTCCATTCGCTTATCTCATGTTAAAGAATGATTTATTTTATTAATTTTGAATCAGAAATTAATTCTTTAAACTCTAACAAGGAATGTTTTAAAACAAGGTGTGTTTTAGTGATAGAATGCTACCAATTGCTTGAAATTATTGTTCAATATTGCTTATATTTATTGCATAGATATAAAAATTAAAAACCCTTTAATAAATAATTGTTAATGTATAGAACAAAGAAATATAATTAAATTTTCTATATATTTTCAGTAAGTATCATTGTATTTCCTATAAAACTGCATTTTGCCTTTTGAAATGCATACTTTCAATATTAAGAGTGATATAATTAAGAAGAGTATTTCTATAAAGCAGTGGTTTTCAACCTTCCTAATGCTGTGACCCTTTACTACAGTTCCTTATGTGTGGTGAACCTAAGCATAAAATTATTTTCATTGCTACTTCATAACTGTAATTTTGCTACTGTGATGAATCATAATGTAAATATATGATGTGCAGACTATCTGACATGTGACCCCTGTGAAAGGGTCACTCAACCCCAGAGGGATCATAACCTACAGGTTGAAAACTGCTTGTGTCAAGAAGACTGGGGTGCTAACTAGTAGCACAAACTTCTCAAATCCTTTCTGGGTTGAAATGGGCCCTAACCTGGGCTTGGTGACACATTCCTGTAATCCCAGACCCGGGTAATTAGGACTAGGAGGATCAGGAGTTCAAGGCTAGTCTCTGGTACCTGGATCAAGATCAGCTCAAGCTGTGTGAGACCCTGTCTCAAAGCCAAAAACCAAACCAGACAAACAAAACAAACAACAACAACAACAACAACAACAAAAACAAAAAAGAGGAAGAATTGGTATGAATCCCGCATCTCTAACTTGATATCTAAAAGCTAAGTTTCTTTTTAAAGCTTCAAAATATAAATATTGAAGAAAAATGTAAAACATTTTTAGGTAGTTGAATTCGAAGGTTTGAATTTTGTTTAAGATATATTAATAAGTTCTTGATTTACTCAGTGAGCAATATTTTTATCTGGTATTTTTCCATTCCAGATTAAACATTTTATAGCATAGTTGGTGTGGAAACAGCGCCTGAGCTAGATGTGGTGTCGTGGCTCCTGCGGTCCCAGGTGACTCAGGAGCCTGACAAAGGAGGGATCACTTGAGCCTGGGCATTCGGGGCCAGGCTGGGTAGCATAACCATCTGACCCCTCCTCAGAAAACACAACACAACATCTCATATGAATATAGTGTTATTGCCAGTAAAAGCGTATTTAAAATGATAGGCATCATAAATAACCTTTAACTGGAGGAAGTTAATCTCTTGTAACTGTTTATCCATAACAATGTCTACTTTTTGCATTGACTGCAAAAACTCTTGAGTGATAGAAATAAAATATTCCACATACGTTTTCTCTGATATGCTTTAAAATGAAGTCTCTTTAATATCATTTTTATTTTGAAACAGGCTCTCATTATGTAGCCCTGACTGATCTGGAATTCACAATATATAATAGGCTGTCCTTGAACTCACAAAAATCCGTGTGCCTCTGCCTCCTGAGTGCTGGGATTAAAGGCGTGTGTTGTCATTCTGGGGTGGTATGAAATCTTAATAGGACTCAACTTTAAACATACTTCAATAGTTCATTAAATTAAAAGTGAGTTGTGTAAGATAAACACAAAGCCGACTCCATTTCAGTAGCACTCCAGTTATCCAGACTCCATTTCAGCAGTACTTCAGTTATCCAGACTCCAGTTCAGTAGTGTCCAGGCTCCAGTTCAGTAGTGCTTCAGTTATCCAGACTCCGGTTCAGTAACACTTTAATTAGCCAGTGTATGGGGACCAAACATGTTCCACCACTTACTTCCAGTAAGTGGTGCTTTAGGAAGAGCAATGTTTTTTGTTGGAAATCTTACTCGATTATAAGCACAAATATTTGCGTCTTTAAAAATAAAATATAAAGGGTTAGAGAGACAGCTGAGAGGCTGAGTGTACTACTCTTGCAGGGGACCCAAGTTCTGCTCCCAGCACCCACATCGGGTGACATACGTGCCCCTGTAACTCTAGTTCCAGGGGATCTGAAGCCTCTGAGGGTAACTGCAACATGCACACACGTATAATTAACATCAAATCTAAAAACAATTACATAAAAACCCATGTGAAGCCTGATTTGCCAAGGGTACTTCCTGCCCCCTGTCTTTGGCTTGTGTTAGTGGACTTCCTTTTCTGTTTGCTCAGCTGATGCTCTGTAATTTTTCCTTCTACTCTTCTGACTTACGCCCATTTTTGGGAGCAAAACAGTGAACTCTGTCTCTGGATTAAAATGAGGGGATTTATAACGGTTGCTTTCTCCCCAAAGAGGCTGTTGATGTGCTTTTCAGTTGTCTGGGGGTACAGACCGAGGTTGGCTTCTGTCAGCTAGTTTTGTGCATGTGACTGTAGTCTTCAGTCAATGCCATGATAACTTTTTTAAATTCTAGTGACAAGTTTACTCACGGCAAAAGAAAGAATGTTGATCTCAGGGATTTGCCATTACTAGCTCCGTGTTCTCAGACCCATCAGTTTTCATCCCTAGGTCTTAATACCTGTGTCACGAGGCTATCAATCTATCCTTGATTAGGTTCATTGTGCTATGTTATTCATTGGATTAAATATAACAATGCTCATGAAAAGCTGTCTTCGAACATCGCCCTGCTCACGGAAGAGCATTCAGCAAAGCCTCCATGTTGCTATTAATTATAGCTATGCTGAACACAATATGTTAATTTAAGAATTAACATCTTAATTTGTATTTTCCAAGTAGCAAAAATAAGCATTTCCATGTAAAATTGCTTTGCAGACTAGCAAAACAAACATAATTTGAGCACACTGAGCCAGGGTAAATTATAATCAGCATTGTGACACTAGGAAAGCGTGGTTAACTGTCTTCATTGTGAAAAATAGTTTCGGGAAACCGTTCGAGTTCTAAAAGCCCTTGAAATATCTAACATTTTAAACTAGGGAAGAGGGTTTCTGAAGCTAGATACAACAGTTTTGTTTTGCTGTGCTGCATGAACTAATTAATGCTGGTGTACAAATCGTGCTCGTTTTAAACGTCTCAGCCCTCACAGCATGTGACACGGCGGTGTCTTGTTTGCCACATGCTCAGATACTGTACGGCAGCGTTGATGCTGAGTACAACCCCCGTATCATCACATGCGCTCACTCATGGCTTGTGTAATTTCCCTTATTCCTCTCATTTGTGAATGTGCCGCTCATTTCCAGCCTTAATTATATGAGTTCTGTGTCAGTAATGGAAGTTATTGTCCTTGACATTTCATTAGCCATTTTGCATGCCGCTGCCTGTTACAGAGTTTGCGTGCCAGGAGGCTATTATAAAATTATAATATGTTACATGTGGATGTTTCTGCACGCTATTTATTCTCATATTGGAGAGTGAATATTAAATCATTTCCATTGTGCTATGTGACTTTTTTTGAAATAATCTTATCTTCTTTCTTTTCTAGACACAGTTAAATTTGCTTCTGGATAAACTACGAAGTACTGTGAGTATATTTACTAAGAAAGTAGGTTTTTTTTTAAAAAAAAACTTTTTATTGTTTTTATTGAGCTATATATTTTTCTCTGCTCCCCTCCGCCTTTTCCCCCTCCCCTTCTACCTTCTCCCATGGTCCCCATGCTCCCAATTTACTCAGGAGATCTTGTCTTTTTCTACTTCCCATGTAGACTAGATCCATGTGTGTCTCTCTTAGTGTCCTCATTGTTGTCTAGGTTCTCAGCAGTTATGAATTGTAGGCTGGTATTCTTTGCTTTATGTCTAAAAGTCACTTACAAGTGAGTACCTATGGTGTTTGTCTTTCTGGGTCTGGGTTACCTCACTCAATATGCTGTTTTCTAGATCCATCTGTTTCCCATCAAATATCAAGATGCCATTTTTTTTTCCATTGCGTAAATGTATCACATGTTTTTTATCCATTCTTCAGTTGAGGGGTATTTAGATTTTTTCCCAGGTTCTGGCTATGACAAACAATGCTGCTATCAACATAGCTGAGCACATGTCCTTGTTGTATGATTGAGCATTCTTTGGGTATATACCCAAAAGTGATATTGTTGGGTCTTGAGGAAGGTTGTTTTCTAATTTTCTGAGAAATCACCGTACTGATTTCCAAAGGGGCTATACCAGCTTGCATTCCCACCAGCACTGCAGGAGTGTTCCCTTTACCCCACATCCTCTCCAGCAGAAGTTGTCATTAGTGTTTTTGATCTTGGCCATTCTTCCAGGTGAAAGATGGAATCTCAGAGTTGTTTTGATTTGCATTTCTCTGATGGCTAAGGATGTTGAGCATTTCCTTAAGTGTCTTTCAGCCGTTTTAGATTCATCTGTTGACAGTTCTCTGTTTAGGCCTGTACCCCATTTTTTTAATTGGATTATTTGAAGAAATAATGGTCTTCTGAAACGACTATTAGTGGTTACCCAAGTAAGCACAGTAACCCTGAGATAATGAGAGGTATCTTTTAAACCACATTCTCTTTCAAAAAGAAGTTGATTTTTAGAGGGCTGGAATTTAGCTCAGTGGTAGACTTTTACCTGGTAATCATGACGCTCGGGATGCCAGCCCCAGTGCACACCCACAGCAACACCCAGTTACACCCACACCCCAAACCCGCACATGCCACAGCCACACCACACAGCCACACTGTCAGCTTTTGAGATGGTAAGGTGTTTATTATTAGTTTTTTTTTTAAGGAAAGGCCAAGTATGCATGTGAAGTGAAATTTTTTGGAAGTTTTTGTTAATGAATGAAGATTTCACAAAAGTGAAAATAGTAATTATAAAAAAGAGCAAATATTTTAATATTAAAGATAAAACATACAATTTATTATAGTAACACTCTTCAGACAGGGCAGTGTGCTGCAGACAAAAATGAACTTGATATTTTTCTGTCCTTTTTAAATGATAAATGTCAAACTTACTACAAGTTCATCTTCTAACTACATTTTGTTGACTCACCTTGATATTGTTTTTCTAGTTGTGTTTTGGTGGTGTTGGCATTGAACCTAGGATTTTGCACACGCTATACAAATGCTCTGCCACTATGCTGTACAACTGGCCCTTGGCTGTTTTTTTTTTTTCTTACATTTTTAGACAGGGTCTCTTCATACAGTTCATGCTGGCCCTGAACTTACAATTAGCCTGTCTTTCCCACAGTGTCCCGGGGAATACAGGTGTGACTCCCTATACTGGGGTTCACTCCAATGTTTGAATTGAAAAACAAAACCCGTCTAGAGAGAAGTTCTAATTGCCGAGTGTGGAGGCACATTCCTGGCAATCCCAGAATTTGGGAAGTTGAGGCAGGAGGCTCTTAATTTTGAGGCCACCTTGGCTTGCATATAGTGAGAGCCTGTCTTTATAACGCAAAATGAAAAAGAAAGACAGTGGATATGTGGGTTATAGAAAAATTGTAATTCCAAGGAAAGTCTTAGTTTTAATACAAACCACAGAGTTGAACTTCATGCTTTTCCCTTTAAGGACCAGTCATTTCCAACAGCCAAATGTCCATTCTGTCCCACAGTTACTACTTTACTTGCTGATGAGTTTGCCTTTGGAGCCATCCAGAAAATCATGAAGTTTCTGAGTCTAAAGTATTTGACTCTTAAGAGCTAAGCATTTTGTTAAAAAATGCAGTATCTTTTTCTTTGAGGATTTTGTACAAGTGTATAATGTATTTGATGGAATTCCCCCTCACTGTTCCTCACGAGCCAGGCATCTTTAAATGCCGTCTGATGGGGCGGCTGTTTTATTTTCACTCCCCAAAGACTGGGCTGCTCTAAAATCACGAGGTGGTTGTGGTTTGTAGAAACATGACATCCAAGTGTCCGTGGTGGTCATTGTTGTTGAAATAACTATTCAGGGTTCTAAGGTGGCCACTTTGAAGAGAAGCATCTGTTTGGATGTCTTTTACTTTATCTTTGTACACAGCACTTGCACTGTGATACAAACAGTATTCCCTCTGCCTCATTCAGCAAAATATGGTCACCACATGGAAGCCCTTAAGCTTTTAAAAACAATGCTTAACAAGCAATACACATAGCGGTGCAGTTTGGGGCCTTATCTTTTTGAAGTTGAATGAAAATAGTGACTTACGTTCGTGTTTTGTTTGCTTACATTTTGGCCGAAATTCCCTTCGCAGCCTCTGTAGAGGCTTCTAGTTAAGCGGTAGGATGTTTGTGCGGTAGGATGTTTGTCTGTGTGTGCAAGGCCTGGCCCTGAAAAACAAAAAGCCAAACCCTCTATGAGAAGATAGTTAAGCCTATAGAGCGCATTGTTTAAAAGTAGTGAAATGCTTTGCACTGAAAGACTTTTTACAAAATGATTTTTGGCAGTCAAAACTAAAACTTCATCTTGCTAATATTTAGTCATAATATAGTCATTAATTTTAAGGTTCAAGTTATAGAAATATGATAAAATTCTAAATTTCTAATTATGTTGTGTCATTAACGTTATTGTGCTGTGGAAGTTGGTGGTATTCAATGACAGTAGAAACATATAGATGCTGTATGTACTATCTTAAAAAGTGTTTCATATTCTTTCAGGGAGCGAGCTTCATTCGCTGCATCAAACCCAACTTAAAGATGACAAGCCACCACTTCGAAGGCGCCCAAATTCTGTCTCAACTGCAGTGTTCAGGTATTTCCATAGTTTCAGGGCCTGTGACAATCTCTGCAAGCAGACAGCTCACCATCCCTTTATTCTGAGCAAAGCACAGGAGGCAGATATGAGCAACATCGACTTCTCCTTTTTGTGAAGTAAAACACATATAAAGAACTTGTTCTTGGAAAACCCAGATCTCCACGCCGGCTGCTTCTGGCAGCAGCAGCCCACACTGGTCCCCATTCCCCACACAACTGGGTTAACTGGGGGGTTGGAGTCCTTGCTTCTCCTCTATCACTTGGGGTGGGAATTTAAACAGGATGAGCCTTTGGGCTCTGTGGCACTTTCATGAATTGATTAATCAGTCACCTCCAGCCCCAGCCCTGACTTCACCCAGTCACAGAAGCCTCAGGCACTGACTCTTGGTGCACAAGCATCCCAGCTGTAGCTGCTGCCCTGCCCTTTCCGCATCCCAGCTGTAGCTGCTGCCCTGCCCTTTCCGCATCCCAGTCATGGATGCTGCCCTGCTCTTTCTACTGCTCAGTTTGGTCTAGCTCAGGCCCTGGTGTCTCTCAAACCTGCTTTTCTGACCTCATTCTGGTCCTTGCAGAGGCCGACTTAGAGCGAGGCTTCAGAGCCCTGCACTTAACTTTGTATTGCAGAGTCCTCCCAGATGAGGCAAGCGTCAGTTTTCCTGACGTCAGGATCTAGCTCTAACTCTTCTATCTAAACTGGAGCTCTCCTCGTTTTTACAGGGCCAGTAGGCCAGCCAGGTTGGCACCACTTAAGTTCATGGTCACTGACCTTTTGGGGCTCTCAAACCTCTCCTGCCTAGTTTCCCTGCTCCACACATTTCAGCAGAGCCAGCCCCCTGCCCCCAGGTCACTTGCTCCCTTAGAGCTCTGCCAGCAGACGGCCTCTTCTCTTACTAAAGCCTCCAAGCTAGTGCCCCCTGGACGCTGCCAAATACTTCTGCTTGTCTGCACCCCCTCACCCGCTCCTGGCCTGTTAAAAGCAGGACTCTCTGGTCCCTGCTGTAGTCTCTTCCTGCCTCTCCTGAGTCAGCAGTGCCCATTAAGTGCAGGCCAGGCCCCGTGGGACTCTGCCCCAATCCACTAAGACACACTGGGCTCCCTCTGTCACTCACATGGCTTCTCCTTCACGGATCTCCTTCCTCCTGTTTTTCTCTAGATCTTTCTCTCTGTCACTCTCCTTTGGATTTCTCTGCTTCCTCCTTCCATTCCTTCTGTAACCCCTGGTGTTACCCAGTATGGTAACCAGGAGATTGACACCTCTATGAGCTCTTAAGCGTTTGAAATATGGCGGACGGGACTCCTGTAGAAAGGATTAATTTTTTTTAGTACTAAAACGTAAGCAGCTATGTGTGCCTGGTGCCACTAAGGACCCATGGCTAGTGTGGCTGTCCTGTTGGGTAGTGCAGGACACTTTCTGTCTCGTTCCTGTGATCTCCTACAGTGAATGCTGTTGCTACCCAACCGAAGCTGACGCCTCCTGTCGCTTGCTTTCTTGCTGCCGTTGCCGTGTACCCTTGCACCTGCTCAATGCATTGGAGACATGCGTGACATCGTCACTCCACAGTTCTGCTTACACACTCTGATGGCTCCCGATGACCATGGGGTGAAGAGTGCAATCCTGGTGCCAGCCTCTGCCCTGTGTATAGCGCCCCTCTTCCCATTTCCTTCTGCTGTGCTCCAGCTACACAGACTTGCTCTTAGTGCTCCGTTCCCTCCTAGTTCCCTCCTATTGCGGGGTCTTTGTACATGCTACTTCCTGTCAGGACATCGTTCTTTCATCCTGCATATGCCGGCTTAGTGACTACTTCCTGTGAAAGCCAGCCTTGATCCTGGCTCCGAAGGGGGCTTTGTTCATGGTGCTGAGGTCTGGCATCTTTAATTTCGCAGCCACAGTTGCAGATTTTATGTATACTTGTATAGTTCTTCATGAGATTGATGAGTCTGCTAGTATAATTATTATATATAATACATGCACACACACACATATATAATACAATTATTTAAAGTTTCCCTCTAGGAACTGTGTTTTGGCTTCCTCAAAGTCCTGGTCTTTCTAGTGTGTATTAAACTAATTCATCATTGACTGGAATACACAATCTATCAGATACAAAACTTTATTTGTGCTTAATTTTAAACAAATACTAGAAAGCCAACTAATATACTTCTGCATATAATAATGAGGGACTCTTTTTGCTTAGTAACTGCATTTATTTGAAACCCTTTGCATGTACATTACAGATGAGTCCGGTTTCTAGCATGCTCTTCCCCAGGTGTTAATAACAGATAATATTCTGAAAAATGCAGTAGTGATGTATTTTGTATACTGTCTTTAAGGGTGATTTTCATTACCTTGACTTTGACTTTTTTCCCTGGATTTTTAGCGTAACGTACTTCTCTCCAAGCAAGCATCTAGCGTGTTAAGCGTGTGGAGCTGCAGTTGTGTGTTCAGATTAGCACATTGTGAGCTTTCTGGCCAGTTGGTGGGATTCCTCCTTCACACAAGAATGCATTTTAACATGGTCAGCTAGGTTGTAGTTTAACAGGTGACTCCATTTTATTGTCTGAAACTGTGATAGTGCTAACCAAACCTTACTTTTTTTTTTTTTTTCCTACTAGCAGCTCTGAGAACTAAAATTTGTTCTGGCCATTCATGAGTTCAAAGCCAGCCTGAACTACATAGCCCGAGTGCTGGGACTGTAGCTCAGTCCAGTGGTAGAATACTTGTTTTAGCATGCGAAAAGCCCTGGTTCAGTCCTCAGAACTGCAAGGAAAAAGCAATGGTCTCCATGTGTTGATTTAATCAGTATACACTATGCCTTAGATGTATTTTTATGCTGGTTAGATAAATTCCAAGACCCTAATCAGTGCATTATTTTATGAGTGTAATACAGTTTTGATGAATAGGTCTTTATTTCTGGTTTTTGTTTTTTTCTTGTTTGTTTGTTTTCCTGCTATAAGCAGTGACTGTGGATATCTCCACATGGCTTTGTCTATAAGTGAGAAAATTGTAATTTAGATTTATAAAAGTAGAAATTACATAAAAGATGAATGTTTCCAAGTTGCCATCTAAAGATATTGCCTTGCCGTTCTCTCTCACAGAGTTTTTATTCTTTTTGCAGTCCAGTAGGCTAGTATTCAATCTGTATAGAAGGGCTGCCTTCCCTAGATTATGTTACAATTAAAAATACACTTATTGAAAATTTTATTTTTTACATTTTAATTTGTCTAACTGAAATTCATTTTGGCATTTGAAATAAAAAAGGATATATTTTCAATTTTGTTTTCCACATATTCATATTCTTACGACTCCTAATTTCTATAATATTGATTTAATAACTACATCTTAATAATTTGAGTAGTTGCTCTTATAGTTAAATAAGCACTCACACTAATGCAATCACCAAAATAACCATTCATTATAGTAATTTTTACTTGGATTTTGTTTTTGTGGTGTTAGAGCTGGAACCCGAGGCCCCATGAGCACGAGCTACGTGCCCCACCGCTGGGCCACACCCCTGGCTCCCAGCACAGTATTTTTTATTAAATAGTCCTCCTGCCTGTTGACTGTGTGACCTGTGTCTGTGCACCAAGTCTGAGTGTGTGAAAGTGGTTGAACGTTTTTCTCTGTGTGACATTTAAGATATAGATCCTATTTTACCTTTCCATTTAGGCCTTTTGTTTTGTTTGTTTTTTCTCTTTTGAGGATAATTAATTTAAGACACTCTCCTAGTTTGCTTTCTTTCATTTCACAACCCTGGAGTCAAGCTCCGTCACTGAGGGACGTCAGGACTGGAAGTCAGTGTGGGAACTTGGAGGCAGAAACCGAAGGACAGGCTGGAAGAACACGTCACTGGATTTCTCAGCTACCTTTCTTATATAATCCAAGACCCCACACCAACTGCCCAGGGGTGGCACCACAGTGGGCTGGGCCCTCCACATCAGTCATTCAGTAAGAAAGTGCCTCACAGATTTGTCACCGGCCAGTTGAGGCCATTTTATCAACAGATGTTCTCCCTTCCCTGATGACTTAAGTTTATTTCAAGTTGGCAAAAACCCACCCAGCACAGAAGCCTTTCTACTAAAATTCCTATCAGATGAATGTCAGGAGCACATAGGGACGATGAAAAAGGAGGGCTTCCTTCCTCTGTAACTCTGACCAGAAAAGCTCATGTCAACCCAAGGCTTAGACTGACCATTTATTAGCATTAAATTAAAATGTAATAATTTATATTTTATCCTGTAGACTCAGCTTCCCAACCAATAGATTAGTTTCTTTAGTAGAAGAGGTCTTATTTTGAGGCTGGGGCTAGAACCCAGGGTCTTGGACATGCAAGGTTAGTGTTCCCTTGGGAGCCACAGTCCCAAACTGGTAGAAAGGTGTGTGTGCACATGCATACATGTGTGTGTGTGTGTGTGAGAGAGAGAGATTATATATGTTATATTACACATAATGTTTAAATAATAAATTCTCTTTTGTATTAGTTCTAGGGAAACTATAGAAATGGAGAGAGTGGCCAAATACAGAATTTTGCTTTCTATAAATTGGGAGCATGGGAACCTTGGGGGAGGGTTGAAGGGGAAGGGAGAGGAAGGGAGGGGAGCAGAGAAAAAATGTAGAGCTCAATAAAAATCAGTAAAAAAAATTGAGCAGAAAAAAAAGACATGATACTGGAACCTTCTAGATTGGGATGCCTCTGTGGAATGATCACTGTGCTGATTTTACATGGGATTTCATTGTGGCTGTTTTAAAGTGATGACTAAGTTGAGCATACTGACTGGAGGTGTGCTTCCTGCCCAGTGTCTCACCGTGATATTCTCTCTCTATAAGTTTTTTTTTTTTTCATAAACGCTCACTGTAACATAGATGAGTTACCCTGCCCTTTTGTATTGTGACTGAGAATTATCTGTGCTCATGACTCTAGGTATGGTGTCGGTGCTGGACTTAATGCAAGGAGGTTTCCCTTCAAGAGCCTCATTTCATGAACTCTATAATATGTACAAGAAGTACATGCCAGACAAACTTGCAAGATTGGATCCAAGGCTATTTTGTAAGGTATAGATGCTGCTTCGATACAAATTTCTCAGCAACAAACCTTTTCTATTCATTTCTAGTTGGAGCTCATTTTTTTTTAAAACTTCTTTTTCAGGCTCTTTTTAAAGCTTTGGGATTAAATGAGGTTGACTACAAGTTTGGGCTAACGAAAGTATTTTTCAGACCCGGCAAGGTAAATCTGTATTTTAAACTTTAGCGTATGGTAGTTGGGCTTGGTATATATTTTCTTGGTTATTAGGAATTGATGTTATTATTACATTACATACAACAGTGTGAAATTATGTTTCATTTCCCACAGTTTTCCTGTTTGGGGGTGTTTCATATTCTGAGTTTAAATTTTAGTTTTCATTAGTGTTGGAATCAGAGCATTGTTGAATTTTTTTTTCTTAAATAGGGAATAACCAAATACCTCTACTATTTAAAATAAGTTGAAAGAATTTCTAGACTATTTTAATTTATGAGCCAGTTAGGTAGCTCTGCATGTAACTGAAACTGGCCTGGATTTGCCTGATTGTCCCAGGCTCCAAAATGCGGGGATTATAAGCATGTGCCGCTTTGCATGGTGAGATTTCATAGTATGTCGGAGTCTTCACTCTGAGAGAGTTTCCCTCGAGTGTGGTAGACATATAAGGCATATGAAATTGGACTGGAGTTTGTACTGACTGCTGCCAAATTTTCAGTGAAGGAGTGTATAAACACCGCATATATTAGGTTGTATTTTTTGGCTGACATAGTACTTCTCTGAGGCATTCACTGACTGTAGAATACTTCCTAGCTAACTGTATTCTGTACACAAACACTTAAGTGTTATTATTAACACTGTTCATAAGTGTTAATAATAGCATTTCCACATTCCTAGCATTTAAATACTAACTTAATTATTACATCCTTATCGTTGTAAATGGAATTGTATTGCAGCTAAATAGCCAATTATACTATCAACTATCTATAGTGTCTTGAGGATAAAGTAATTATAATAAATCTGATCTCACATTTTTGAGCATGAGATGTGTGTTTGCACGACTAAGTAAGGGTTTTTCTCTGTGGTGTCTTTGTCATGGAACCCATACCATTTCCTATGAAAGATTAGAAAAAAAAAAGATGGATGTTCCTAGTTGGCTTTGCTTTAGTGGTGTTTATCATAAATTCAACATTTCTCCTATTTTAGAGGTATAGTAACTATTTAGTTAATAGCTGGATAGAGAAAGAACTTGGATTATTTACCTCCAGAAAAATGTAAAAGGGTTGTTGAAAGCTTAAAGCAAGCAGATTCGGAGATGTGTAGTCTTTCTGTATCTTTAATGTTTTCATGATTTAAAAACTGCAGTGTGATATTTGGTGAAGAATGGGGATAATTCTGGAATTTGATAGTAAATAGCAGAAATAACACATTTTATTCATTAGTAGCCAAATATTCATTGCCTTTGTGTGGTCTGTCTCTTAGTTCAATTTCTTATTCTTGTCTAAAATGGGGGTAGGTGTTGGGAGAGATAATACTTTTGGTGGCTTTCCTGTTATAGATGGCCTTTACTGTCAAAAGCTGTGTGTGTCTGAGAATGCAGATGAACTGGCTCAGACACGTTAGCCCCTTTCAACATTTCCCTCAGATGTCTCTGTAATTACTCATTTAAGAGCTTTTCCTATTCCTATTTTTGGTGCCTTTTAGGAATAAGTAACCTTCCTAAGCTTCAAAAATTACTGAAGGACAAGAGAAAAGGGCTATGAAATATGGCCAAGCAAGTTTAAGTTCTCTGTTTGCCCTGTTGGAGTTGGCCTTTAGTGATTTTCAGGAAGTTAGACCTGGGACTTGACTTCCATGAATTTTGTTTTCTCCGTTTGAACACGTTTACCATTTAATGCTGACACTAAGTTATCTTACTCCTAGTTTGCAGAATTTGATCAGATTATGAAGTCTGACCCTGATCACTTAGCGGAGTTGGTGAAAAGAGTCAATCTTTGGCTAGTCTGTAGTCGCTGGAAGAAAGTTCAGTGGTGTTCCCTGTCAGTCATCAAACGTGAGTATTCTCTCTCTCTGGGGTAGTATCACGTTCTGTAATCCCAGCGCTCGGCAGGTTCCTGTAGAAGAATCAAGAGTTCATGGCCTCAGGGTTGGAGAGATGGCTCAGTGGTGAAGAGCAGGGCTGCTTTTCTAGAAGACCTGGGTTTGTTTCCCAGCAGCCACATGGCAGCTCACAGCTGAGTGCAGTGACGTTCCAGGGGATCCCATGCCCTCTTCTGGCCTCTGCAGGCATTGCATGTATATGACTCAGACATTAAGGCAGGCAAAACATCCGCACACAAAGGAAAATTAAAGAAAAAAGAAAGTTCAAGGCCTTCCTGGTGTACATAGTGAGACTCTGTCTCAGTAACAACCAAATCCAAAGTGCTTACCAAACTGTTCTAGTTCACATCAAGATTTGTTATTTTGGCAGTGATATGGTTTGAGGGATGTTGTGAGCTGTCTCATGGATGCTGCAACTTTGGTACCTGTTGTGTCTGGTGGAATGGTCCCCCAGTACCCCAGTCAGCATTTGTGGACTTATTTTTATTTTTTAAAGGTCTGACATTTACTATCTGAGATATGTTCTAGGAGTGTTAATTTCATCATGTCCTAAGCAATACAGAATTTACTCCCTTCTTTTTCCTCTTTAGCTCTTTGACTCTCAACCCTGCCCCATATCTTCCAGTTTTAACTGAAGCTTTTCTCCCTCTGCTTTGGCACCTACATTAGGTATTCTCGGTAGATGATCTGTGTTTTGTCTCTCTCTATCTCTTGTCATCCCCCACCCCAAGTCTATTTAACTTGAAGTGCTGTGTATTGAACTCTGGGCCTTCCAAATGCTAAGCAAGCTACACCCCTGGGTGTTGTCTCTCTTTTCTTATTCATGAAATCTCATTAGTTATCAAATTATGTGGATTTTGGCTTCGGATAGTATAATCCTTTATCTTCATTGTCAAAACTTTAATATAACCTCTCTTTATAACTACACAATAACTTCATTAGCTCCAAAAATTGCTTACTAGCTCCCTGCCTCACTTGTATTTTTAAACCAGGAGACTTTCCTACCCCTCCTTGAATAGCTGGCAAGGTTTGAATTCCCAGACTTTTTTTCTAGGCTATAGCTGGGGTTTGTTTTTACACCATCTCCTGTCCCTCCCCTCTGAGACTCACTCTCAGTACACTGGACCAAGCTGCGTTCGAGTGTAGTTCTGCTAGGCTGTAGCAGCTACTTCCTTCTGGTCTAAAACATGAGTGAGTGCAGAGTATTTTGGATTACTTGATGAAAATTTAGTGTTGGGAACTATATGACGATCAGTCACCATGCTCCCTATGCAAGAACACTTAAAATAGTGCTGTGGATGTAGTAGGATTTAGTAGAGAAATCTTTACTAATGCAAGAGTAAAATTCACTTGGTCTAGCACAAAGGAGTTTGGCATTATTCTTAAAACTTTTTGTTAGACAATAGTGCATGTTTATAAAATAATATCATAAGGAAAATATAAATGTTTCCTGTTGTAGGAGGCTGCTTTTTTGTTTCCCAGATGCCCAGACTTCCGAAATAATCATAAAGAAACTATATTATTTAAATCACTACTTGGCCCATTAGTTCTAGCTTCTTATTGGCTAATTCTTACATATTAATTTAACCCATTTCTATTAATCTATGTATTGCCATGTAGCTGTGGCTTACTAGCTAAAGTTCTGGCATCTGTCTCTGGCGGGGCTACATGGCTTCTCTCTGACTCCGCCCTTCTTTCTCCCAGCATTCAGTTTAGTTTTCCCTGCCTAGCTCTGTTCTACCCTATCAGGCCAAGCCAGTTTCTTTAACCAATAGTATTCACAGCATACAGAGGGGAATTGCACACCACAAGTGTGCTAGGAAATTCTAGACACCAGCAGCTGAAAGGTTATTTTCCTGTAGGACTCTTATATACCATACCTATAATGTTCAGTGTGGATTTCCAGAAAAAGGTAAACTGTGTTTCTTAAACTCATTTGGCAGGTTAACTTTTTAAAAGACATAATATTTAATAGACATTTAACAGAAATATGGCCCAGGACAGTTTGTTAATAGTACTGCAGAATACATTTGAAATATAATACTAGCTGCATCAATCATTTTTTAAAATAACTTTTAAGAAGTTAAAGAAACATTAGACTTCTCAATTTTGATGAGCGAATAACATATTCATCAAGATTTTATGAGAATTGCTTTTTGGAAGTGAATGTGTTTTAAATTTATGTCCTGTTTAAACCAAAATTTTCTGTCATTTTATTTTACTCTTACACATAGTGAAAAACAAAATAAAATATCGAGCTGAGGCGTGCATTAAAATGCAGAAAACCATTCGAATGTGGCTGTGCAAAAGGAGACACAAACCACGGTAAGATGAACAGGGTCTGCAGATCTCTACAGCACTACAGTATAAAAGGCGATGCCATCACGATGAAGAGCATCTGGGTCCTGTTCTATCTGCAAATGGCTTGTTTGTGCTGCGTGTTGGAATCGGCTCGTGCATTACTTCGCTTGGTGCTACCAAAGGTTTGAGTGACTGGCAGAAAAGTGAGCACTAAGAGGTTGGAATGGAAGACTGAGCGAGACTGCTATTCTGGTTACTGGATGGTTTGAGTTTCTCGATGATGCCAAGTTAGATGGTATTTTGGAAGATGCTCAATAGCCTGATCAGAATTTCAAGAATGTTCATAAAAATGATCTAGTTTTGTTTGTGTATCATTTTGCTGTATGTATTTCCTTTTCATCTTATTTAAAAACGTGTGTTACCAAGTTACTTTTTAAACTTCGAAAGTTTGAATGGCTGTTGACGGCATACCTTTTCATTGAGGTGCTGGGTCCTTTGAGTTTGGTAATTTGAACCCTGATTTTCCAGCCTGAATATGGTTGCCCTCAGTCTTATTGACAGTCATTAGTACTGTTCATTCGTTTATTTGATGCTTTTCATACGTGTACTTGGTTCTTTTTATACTGAATGAGAGACCCAAACAGACTACTAAGCAACACTGCAGACAGAAGTGACCTGCCCGTTTAGCCGCAGTGTTCACTTTCGAGTTTCCATGAGAGCCCTCCTAGACCGTTAGCTGGTAGGCAACTATCTGATGGCGCCTTCCTGTTGCAGCATTGATGGCCTGGTCAAGGTGGGCACACTGAAGAAACGACTCGACAAGTTCAATGAAGTTGTAAGTGCGCTAAAAGATGGGAAGCCGGAGGTGAACAGGCAGATCAAAGACCTGGAGATTTCCATTGATGCCTTGATGGCCAAAATTAAGGTGGGTCATTTTAACCCAGCTTCCTTTTTTTTTGTGTGTGTAATTTGCTGTTTTTGTTATTGGTATTGAACTTGTATAGGAAAATATCATTATTTATTCAAGATATGAAGCATTAGCAAGTGGTACCCACATTAATCTTTTCTCAATATCTGAAAAATTTTATATTAAAAAGATAATCTTTATGTGATTTTTATCTGTTGCAAAATACTACACTTTAGAGAGTAACTAAAATACTAAGCTTAATTGTCAAGCTTTTACAGTCATGATTCAGACAAGGTTAATGTGAATTAATTTGTTTTATGCTTTTCTACTTTCCAAAGCCAATTTTTATTCCACTGTGTTTATTTTTTGTTCTGGTGGCGCTTGGGATTGAACAAAGTACGTTGAGTATGGCCAGCAGATACTCTTCTACTGAGCTACAGAAATGAAGCTGCTAAATTATAAAAGTAATGCGTCATGGTTGAAAATGGAAAGGAACTCACTCAGCACTCTTTTATAACACCATACTAAGCATTCAGATAATACATGTTTGTGTTTACCTTATAGCCATACTTTGTATGTACACGTTTTTACATAGTTCTGTCATAGACATACGTGTCCTTTCGTACCTCTGCTGTTAGGTTACATGATTTGTCATGGTTAATACATTATCTTCAGAGTTTGCTCAGCTATCTAAAAAGTAGCAATTACTTTTCTTCATTTTTAAGGGGAAAGTGGACTATTTTGACTTCGTTTTCAATTGCTTGATTATTAATGATACTGAAAAGATTTTCTATAATCTTTGTTATCATATTTAATCTGTTTCGGTTTCCTCAATTCTAGGTTAGGTTTTTACAGGCTTTTCTTAGGGAGCACTCAGAAGACAATGCACTTAGATTAAGCCTTTTGTAGTTCTGGTAGACAAGGTAAATATTAGAGGCAGAAAGAAAAAAAAAACACATGAAGAAAAGGATGAAAATGCTACAGTAGACTTAGCTGATTTTACAGATTACAGGTGGGACTGGTTTATGAGGTTATCATCATCAATCAAAATTAACCCAGGAAAATCATCCGACAAGTTCAGATGTAATTTCCCAATGCTCTGTAGGTGCTGACTGAATGTTATAAGTAAGGAGAGCAGGCTTTGGCTAAATGAGATAGTCATTCCATTTATGAGGCTCCTCAGCTTCATCACTGGGTTAGGGTTACCCTGGGCTATGTGAAATTCTGTTTCAAAAAAAATATGAATGGATTTGTTGGTAAGTTTTGCCAGCTGTTTTTATGTTACTTAGAGTTCTTTTTCTACAATGTGGAAACCCACAAAACACTGCATTTATCATTGTAACCAGTTTAAAGCATGTGGTTCAGTTGCACTAAGCCTATCAGTGTTGTGTGGAGGACATCACTTCTTATGTACATGTTTAATGTTTGACTTTTTAAGTCTACCATGATGACGAGGGAGCAAATACAGAAAGAGTATGATGCACTTGTTAAAAGCTCAGAAGACCTCCTCAGTGCCCTGCAGAAGAAGAAGCAGCAGCAGGAGGAGGCGGAGAGGCTGCGGCGCATTCAAGAGGAGATGGAAAAAGAAAGGAAGAGACGCGAAGAGGATGAAAAGCGTCGACGGAAGGAGGAGGAGGAGAGGCGGATGTAAGGCTTTGTGTTGTTCTGACGAGAAGCCTCCAGGCTGATGGGGGTGGCCGTTCTGAAACTGTATTTCCACTCCTGTCAGATGATATTTATTGATTCATATTCTTTGTGACAGGGATTCAGAGTAGCCCAGGCTGGCCTGGAATTCTCATCTTCCTGCTACAGCCGTCTGAGTGAGCTTTGTACTTACACACCAACATCAAACAATTTTACAATGAGTTTGAGAAAGAATTAATGCTCATTGTATATAGTTATATGCAGTTGTTAACCATAGATTGGATGCTTCTAATCCACAAACCTGAAAACTGAAAAAAACTACAGTCTGAACATTTTTTATTCCATGTATGTGTGCATGTGTGTGCTCGCACATGCTACTTCTTTGCCATGTGTGCACATGGAAGTCAGCCACTTGTGGACTGGTTCTCTCTTTCACCACGTGGCTTCTTGGGATCGATGGGGTCAGTCTGGTGGCAAGTGCCTTTACCATCTGACCCATCTTGTTCACCCTAAAGTCTGAAACTTTGTGAGTGAGTGGAAGCACAACAACTTAATTTAATACAGTCCCCCTTTACTTTATTCCCTATGGCTTTTGGAGACGGTCTTTGAGCCCCGCTGATCCGCATTTTGCTAGATAAATCAGGATGTCCTCAAACTTGTGACAATCTTCTTACCAATGCCTCTTGGTGCTGTGTTTACAGGCATGAGCCAACCTGCCCAGAAAATTGTATTTTGTTTTAAAACATATTAACTGTACCTATTGGTGCGGTTCATGTGATACTCACATACATGTGTAGTGTGCATTTGGCACACCCACACACTCCTCTCCTTCCCTGTCTTCACCTGGTGAGCACTCTTCAGCATCCCTGGAAATCACTGTTGTGCTTTCAGATGGGGTTCTCTCTTTTCCTTAGTTTCTTCGTGAGCGAGAATGCGCAGTTGCCGTGTTTCCTGGCTTATTTCACTTAACACGACACCCTCCACTTCCATCCATTTTGCTGCAGATGGCAGTATTATTTTTTATCCCCTGCTGTGCTCCTGGCTGATTCTACATCCTAGTTATTGTGGATAATAATACAGGATGTATTCTGTAATACAGGATGCTTCTGTAAGCCCGGCATGCATTGCCCTTTTCTACGCCAACTGCATTTCCTCTGTGAACGCATCATTACCAAGTTTATCTGGAAGTGCTTTACATTATGGAAGATGATTGTGTTTGCTTTATTTAGAATTGTTTAGGGGGGAGCTAAATCTTATGATAGTTGAACCGAGTTGATGATGCGTGTGGCCTGAGACTAGCTTGGGTCCATCCTGCTCTGTGGTGCCTGTTAACCTATAGCTCCTTTGTCTTCTGAAGGATTTCTCATAGTTAAAAATTTAAAGAGTTCTCTCTCCTGTTCTCAGGAAACTTGAGATGGAAGCAAAAAGAAAACAAGAAGAGGAGGAAAGGAAGAAGAGGGAAGACGATGAGAAACGGATCCAGGTGTGTGCTCACTGGACTGTATTCCTATCAGATAGAAGCCACAAGTCATGAAAAAGCTGAAGAAAACTCATTGGTTTACCTAGGGGTGAAAGGCTGGTCTTGAAGGGAGTGTGAGGTGGGGCTTGATGCTAGGGAAGGGAGTTCCCAGGCTTTGTCACCAACAGAAATGGTGACATTATATATCACCACGAATTTCTCTTTGTAGAGCGGGGATAAATAATAGTCTTATTAAATGAGTTGCCACATATTAAAGCTTGCAGAACAATTCCTAGCTCGGTAATCATTATTATTGTTACTCTATTAAGGGAAAATCAGATTAGCATTCTCTTAAAACATAACTTTGGGAACCAGAAAACTTTATGTTTTTGTGAGGTAATCGAGGGACCATGAGATGTAAAGAAGAGATGTTAAGGGAGAGAGGAAGACAATGGAACAAAGTAGAAGGGAGAATCATGGGGAGAGAGGGTGCAGTGGGAAAGGGGGCAGAGAAATGAGGTAGGGATGGAGAAGTCACCCCAAGTGAACTATGTATAAAAAACCCATACGGAGATCTATTACTTCATAGTAATACAAGCTAGTCAAAGAAGAAGAGAGTTAATTCGAGGGTGGGGAGACATGGGAGGAGTTAGAAGGAGAGCGGAAAGGCAAGGGGGAAGTGATGTAATAACGTTTAGTTAAATAGATTCTTAAAATTAGAAACGTTTCTTAAAAACAACTTCAGTTTCTGCAGTGTTATTTTATAACTATAGATACTTGTATGAATGAGTTAGGCTTAAGAAAGTCCTCAACTCCCAGTTTGTTTGTTTTATTTGTTTGTTTTTGTTTTTAAGAGGGGGGTTTCTCTGTGTAGTCCTGGCTGTTCTGGAACTGCTCTGTAGACCAGGTTGGCTTTGAACTCACCGAGTTCCACTTGCCTCTGCCTATCAAGTATTGGGATTAAAGGCCTGTGTTCCCACCACCTGGCCCCCAATTCCCAGCTTTTAGATTCCTGGCTGAGATGATTGACATGTTTGACTTACCTTGTTCTCATGGTATGGACTTGTAAGTCCGTCATCAGTCCTGTATCCACTGCATATGTGTAGGTGTTAGCGCCCGGATGCTTCTGTGGCCCTGGGGTTACTCACGCTGTGGTCACGGAATGGTGGGGCCACCGTGTCTCCTTTCTTTTGGCATTGGGAAAGTGAAGCATTAATGATAATATGTGTGAGGGGGCGAGGGGGCGCTGGGAGAGTGAGAGCCTTGGGTTTAAGCAGTGTCTGTTAGCAGAGAATCTGGCCCAGGCCTCTAAGTTCCTTTTGTTTGAGGTAATAGTTTTGGGACCGAAAAGCTCTTGCTAGGTTTGGCTCTTTGTGCTGCAGGCTGAGGTGGAAGCGCAGCTGGCCAGACAGCGGGAGGAGGAGTCCCAGCAGCAGGCGGTCCTGGCGCAGGAGTGCAGGGACAGGGAGCTGGCCCTGCGCATCGCCCAGAACGAGTCCGAGCTCATCAGTGACGAGGCGCAGAGTGATCTGGCGCTCCGAAGGTACTGGGGCTCTGGGTCCGCCTGACCTGGGCTTTCTTGGGCTTCTGGCTTCTTATGTCTGTTTGAAGAGGACTAGGAGAGAGGCGGAGGTTTTTGACATATTTGAAGTAAAAGCATTTTAAAATTAGTTGGATTTGCTTTTGCATTCAAATGAATGAAACAATTGATTTTCCATTTAGTTATTGAACGGTTAAAACATAAAACCCCAATTTTCAGTTAATGGTTGTTCTGTTAAGAACAAAACTCTGCTTGATTGCTGAAATTGTTTAAGGGTATTGTGTACTGGGTAGAAATTTAGCTTCTAAATACTTGCTAAATACTGACATAGACGTTAGTGACTATATTATAATTATAATGCAACCCAATACTTATAAAGCAGGGAGTCTTTAGTTTCCTAACATAAATTTGAAACAACTCACCACATTCTTAACACTTGCAGTGAGGCGCAGTTGGCCCTCCCCCGTGTCTCAAAATCAGAACGATTCATTTACAAGGAGGAAAACTAACCTTGCAGAAATGTTTTGGTTCCTTAGATTCTGACTTATGTCTAGATATTATGGTGGAGTTTGGAGCAGTATGGAAGTTCTTAATATTTGGCATCAAGTTGCAAAAAAGCTAACATTTATCGTTTAAGAATGCAGAAACATGTGTTTTTATTATTCATGTAAAAATCCAAAACAAATCTGTGAGGGGTATATGCTTTCTCCATCCGGAGAGGCCTGAATAGACGACATACACAGTCTTGGTTTTCAGAAGTGTCAGGGTATATTCAATTTTGACCACAAGATGGCGCTATTTGCTTGTAAAAGGAAAAGGCAGTGCCATCCAGGTGGTTAGAGTTTACTTAACTGCAAAGATGGGTTGTGCTCATTTACCATCACTAGTTTTTCCTGTGTGGTTATTTGAAAAGCTTTGGAGTCTGAACCATATATGAAAGTGAATGAATTGTGTGTGAGCAGCCTAGGACCGTGCATCAGTTAGGTGTGTTGTAATACATGGCTTCTGCTGTACTAAACGTTTCCAAGTTACTTTTTCAGCCCAAGTTCCTGTCCAGCAACTTCTAAGTAAGATTTATTTGCACACATGAAATATATTTTCCAATATCATCCTAATCCATTACACTTATGATCCCTGATGCAAACTGATAACTGCAAATCACATGAAATTGTAGAGAAATTCAAATTTCTATTAACACCAAATCTCACAGCGTATGAATGTCATGAATGTCTGAATTTTCCCATCTTAATATATTTGTATTTGCTTTTTAATTTGTTACTAATTCCATTAATTTGTTGTTTCTCAATCCCAATGAGTATTTTAAAAACACATTAAAGTCTCAATGATCTTATGTAGATCAAAGATAACTTGTATTTTGAAATCAATAAGTAATTTTAACACAAATTCACACAATTCAGATTTTCACAGTTCAGACCTGGTGGCGACAGTAACCAAATCATATTCTTTTTACAGACCTAATGGAGCAAGACCGCATATGACACCGTATGTCATTCTTCCTCGTCTCTTTAAAGATTCGGTTTATTTTGTGAGAAGTCATCCCCTCCTTGAAATGCATTTTAAGTTGCTTCCTTTTATTAAAGACAATGAAATCATTTCCCCCCTTTTTCTTGCCTAGGGAAAGGTTTAAATGCAGCCATGGGAGTTCGGGACTGGCTTCCCCTTTCTTCTGTTGTTTCCACTTTAACACCAAACTGTTTCATGTGTTGTGAACTCACTCCTCATCGCAGCTGTGGAGGAGGAAGAATAAGTAAAAGGCTTAGTTTTCCGCGTATGTGATGCTTGGCCTGCTAACCCGCAGACTGGGTCTCGTCTGAGGTCTATGGGCAATGCTTCTTTTACTGTCGGTTTCCTCAGTGACACTGGGAAATAGCAGGACATACCTTATTCATCTGAGGATGGTTACACAGCCTGAATTTTAGCAGGATTAAGGTAGCTGTCAACTGTCAGGCTGTAGCCTCATGAACAGGTGTGTCGTAACCAGCAGGGGCTGTAGCAACAGCTCCCCGGGAAATCCACGTAAGGGGACAAGGACAGCCATTCATGACGAAAGTTAACTATGGAGCTGCATAGTCGCCATAGAAGACACGATCCCTAACCAGATGTGTCTGCTTTGAGAGCCACCATGAATACGACAGCTAGGAGTGCGAACTGTCCGGAGACTCTCACGAGCTCTAATGCCACAGCCTCAAGAACAGTGCTCTTCAGAGTTTTACACAAAATGAGGCTTTACCTCCTCTCAGTTACACAAGGCTTGCAGCTGCATAAAAGCTGCATGTTAAAAAAATATATATTGTACGTTAAAACTATGTAGAAATACATTATTAACATTTAAAACAATTTACATGTAAAATGTATTTTTGTGTGTATGCTTCACATTTATGTGTGTGGCATACATGTTTATCTGATGTGGGTCAGCGGACAGTTCCTGTACAGGACACCCAACACCTCACCAGGCACCGGGAGCACAAGCTTGCAGCACTGTTATTACCTTAGCACCAACCAGAAACGTAGAGTAGTTGGTGAGAAGCCGCCGTCTACTTTCTTCCATTAGAACAACCACTTTAGAGTTGTCGTTTGAGTTTGTTAAGTAAACTCTGTATTGATGTCTAAGGTGACATTGCAAACATTTGCAGGTAGCTCAGCATATGCAGAAGGCGGAAGCACCTAGGTGCAGGGGCCGGTTTGGCTCAGCGAAACTCCTGGAGTTGGTGTAGAATCTGGTGTAGAATGTTGGTGAGGGTTAGAGAGGAGAGTGACTTGGTAGAAGTTGTCTCCTGGTGCTGAAACTTTAGGAGACATCTCTATATGATCAGCAGACCAAGATCAGCAGTGATCAAGAGCTTGGGAAAGTGGTTTGACTCCTCAGGAGCCTGCTGTGGGGAAACAGGTGGAAGCACTTTAGGAGAAGGAGATGGTTAAAACCAGACTGGAACTGAGACAGGGAGACGGTAGAATTGCAAATACTTTAAAAATTAAAAAGTTACACAATTCTGAAAAGCTGATATATAAGTAGAGATGGATAGTGTATTGCCAAAAGATAATTTTATTAGATCATGCTTCCATAGTTTACTTTGTGGGTTTTATCTGGGCTAGTCAGCTTCCACAGGTGGAGTTTCTTCTACTGTGCTTGCTTGGGCAACTATCCAGAAATACCAAGCATTGCCAATATATATATATACACACACATACGTATTGAATTACATATATTTAATTATATGTACACACACACACAATTGCAGACCTCTGCCCCTTCATCAGAGTTCCAGCTGCTTGCAGGCATCTAGGAAACTGTCCCCACAGCCAACACATCCATCTTCTTAACTTGTGATTTTTTTTTTCCTGAAGTGTTTGTGGTTGCTAGAATTGGATGCATAGAACATATATGAAAATGATTAATTATGAAGGGGAAAAAAGCAAAGGACAGAGATGAAATGGAATCAAGACGGTGCTGGTTTTTTGAGCCCAGTGAAACTGCCACTCTGCTTCACAGACTTTAGCACACGCTGAGGGAAGCGACAGTCTGCCAGTAATTAAAGACATAGCAGCTTTTGTTGCAGACGTACTTATCCTTCAAGGTCAGACCACATCAGGCATTTCACTTAACAGGTGCTTTGTATCGATTTTCTCCTTTCCTTTTTTAAATATATACTTTGGTTTGGGGCTAAAGATCTCCAGACTGTTATCTGAGCACATCAGCTCGGTTTACCACCATGAAGCTTTGTCAGACTAACGGAGATGCGCTGAGCATCTTTGCTGCAAAACTCCTGGTACAGCATCTATATCCTGCCAAGTTTCCTGCGCGCATTTAGAGCATGCTATTTATATTCTGCACATAAAAAATACCCCCGAAGCATGGTCCTCATGAAATTTTATCTGAAAATTTTTACGCAGTGTTAGAGATGTGCTCAAATAACTCTAAACTCAAAGATCTTGCCATGTTTTATGGGTAGAATTATGAGAAAGTATGTCATTAACAGATACCTTACAAAGTAAAGAGTTACAGTATTGATAATATTAAAACTTAATTGTATTTTCATATACTTTAAGCAATTTATGTGATATGCCTTACGTATATAATTGTATTATATTATCATTTTTTTTCTTGTAGGGAACAAATGGCCAAAGAAATGTCAGAAATTTTGAGTAGGTTAGTGCAGTGTGTTTACAGAAATAAATATTTACTACAAAAATCATACTTTTAAATTCCTTTTGATTATTTGGACTAGAATCTGTTGTATGAATGGCTCACTAACTTCCAATGTAATATCTCTGTTTGAGAAATACCATTTTAACACAGAAAAAAGCAGCTTTCTTCTAACCCGTGTTTCTCACTGAGGACACAGTGGCATTTTAGATGGGGCGAGTCTTCACTGGTGCTGGGTCTCACTCTCGGTCATCTCCCCGGGGGCTGGGAGTGCTCTCCCTCATTCGGGAGCCACATTGCCTGGCTGAGGGGGATGGGGAGTAACAGTGGATCTGCAGCGTTAACACTAGTTCAAAACCACTGGTGCGAGTTGAATTTCGAGATAAGAACCTCCTGTTACTATCTAGTTTATATTCCTTTGGTTGTGATCCTAGCCTTTAATGACTGCACCATCTTTCCAGCTCTAGTCCATATTTTTTAAAAAGTACATTTGAATCAAGAATATTTTGTCAACTTTAAAGTTTCAAAATTAATTAAAGTGCTAAGTTAGTAGGTCTTAAAAACCAGGTAAATTCTATTACTGTTTTAATGTTTGTATGATTGTCTTTATGATAAGGTTAATCAGTTGATTATACTTTTGTTTAACTATTTTAATAATACAGAGATGGGAAAGGGAACATTTTTATACATTGAGTTCATTTACTACTTCTAACTCCAAATACATTTTTACCAGTGTTAGTAATATGAATAAAAAGTGGTTGTTATGTTTTATACAATAAAATTTTAATCCAGTGTTATCCTCAGAATGTATCAAAGCATGATACACATGTGCACACATATGCGTGTACTGGTATCTTATGTATATCTGATTATCAAGCTATATATTATGTAAGTTGACTTTTCAAAACAAAAGAAAACAAAACTCATAATAATTTTCAATTACTGATAATGTAATTGATAAGATCAAACAAAACAAACAAGCAGAAAGAAAAGAGCTCAAGAAAAGGCACAAAAAGGATTATGTATTTCCAAAGATGGTTTTTCAATAATGCTAGTCATATAAAATGTGTCTGTCTTGACTGTTTGCTGGGACTGTTATTCTTTCAAAGTGTAAAAATGGTGAGAGACTACACACTTGCTCTCAGGTAGCTTGACTTCATTGTCCTTTTTAAGAGGGAAGTTTTCCAGGTAGAAGATGGTAGGGATGGGCTTGGCCTTTACTTGTGTGATACCCAAGAGGCAGGATTTTAGCTCCTTGGCCTTTGTTTACCCTAACACCTGTGTTCCTTCTTTTTATGTTTTGAAGTCTGATTGGTCTAACCTCTTTCTTTGTTACATTGAGCTTAAAATAAATTGTGAAGGTTGATTCTGAGTGCCTGCCTCTTGGTCGGTGTATTTCTTGTTTATATATGTAAAATTCATGATTACAGAGGTCCTGCTGTACAAGCTACCAAGGCAGCTGCTGGTACCAAGAAGCATGATCTCAGTAAATGGAAGTATGCAGAGCTCCGTGATACAATCAATACTTCTTGTGGTAAGTGCATAGAAAAGGTGACAAAGAGGGGCCCAATACCAATGCCAGTAAGAGAAATACCTAGGTTTGGGGTGGGGTGCATGTATGTGTGCATGTGTTTACACATGTATGTGTGTGTGCATATGTGTGTGTACAAAGTCCCCAGGCCCATATATTTGTTATTCTTTGTTCCCTTGAAAATGACGACATAATTTAGTCATAAAATGGCAAGAAAGATATGTGTTCTAGTTCCTTTCCTCTTGCTGTGATAAAAGGCCCTGCCAAAGAGGACATCGGGGGAAAGGGTTTGTTGTAACTCATAGTTCCTGGCCACAGGCTATCAGGATGCAGGACAAGGAGGCTAGAGCAGCTGGTCACATCACACCCACCACCAGGAGAAGAAAGAACAGATGCACACGTTGTACTTACCTTGCTTGTCCACTCTTCCTTAGCCCTGGTCTCACACAGGGAATGTGGCTGACCATGGCCATGGCACACCGTACCTTCTCACTTCAGTCAGCACCATCAGGACAGTCTCCCACAGATGTCCACAGATGGGCTAGCCTCATCTAGACAGTGCCTCGCTGAGACTCTTTCCCACGAAATTCTACATTATCTTCTGTTAACAATGAAAATGAACCAACCAGCATTATTACTAAGTTAGATACATTTTTCTCATTCCTTACATAGGTCACAGAAAAGGAACAAATACAAATTATGACTTGGGCTATATTAATGACCAGTTCTTCTAATGCTAATCTTAAGATTTAATTGTTTGGATATCTGGGTCTTCTCTTCTATGACTCCAGAGTAATAAATAGCAATGTAACCATTTCTTTTTAAATTGGTTGTCCCTAGAAGAACAGTTATATGAGAGACAGCATCCAGAGCCTCACACAGTTAGGGTCTTGTTTAAACCAGTGTTTACGGTCAGGACACTGCCTAGTGATGGAAGGACCGAGCTGGAGAGCTCTTGCTATATTCTTGTCCTTGCTGAGTACAGCATCGTATGTGACAAATGCGCTGCCTTTGACTCTTGCTTGTACTTGAGCACATTGTCTTTGGAAAAACCTTTCTGATTTAATTTCTTCTTCATATAAAAAAGACCGATTTAGTCTAGAGTTGTTGAGTTGAGCAGATGTTATAGGATAGTAATATTATGTGAGTAATGATCTATAATTGGGGAAGACTGTGAAATGCTCACCTTTAGCTTACTTTTCGTCCCGCACTATATGTTAAAGTCCCAAACCTGTCATACACATCTCTTTATGCTATGGAATAATTATGTCAGATGAATAATTTAGGGTGTTATTTTTTTCTTCCTCTGTGATCAATAGACATCGAGCTCCTGGCCGCGTGCAGAGAAGAATTTCACAGGAGACTGAAAGTGTATCACGCTTGGAAATCCAAGAACAAGAAGCGAAACACTGAAACGGAGCAGCGCGCTCCCAAGTCTGTTACTGATTACGGTAAAAACGAATCTGTACTTTTCAGTGTTTCAAGTCGATTATATAGCAATGTGTGTCGCTATACATGATTTTTTGGGTAAAATAGTCAACATAAATTTCTCATATTGTGATCTAGTGAACACGATACAGCCATGATTACCTGCCTTATAAGAAGTTATACAATACTAAGTACATAGTTCCATGTTTAAACACATACAGATACATTCGTATGTTGTGTGGGAAGGCTGGTGACATGTTGGGTCCAGTGCTTGCCTGGCATGTGATGTTCTCAGCATTGCAAAGCCCAAACACAAACAAAAACGGTCAGATGTGAAAATGCCAAGGTTACTGTGATCAGCTTACTCTGGATGCTCATGAGTTTACCTATGAAAATTAGCATTTTAATGTTGCTAACCAACATTATTTTCTAAAATTTATTTTGAAATTTAATCTAGCTTGGTTTTTAGAATAGTTCCTCAAATAATCAAATATACTTATATTTTTAATATGGAGGTATATATACCTACTGGTGACTAGGAAAGGAAAGAACTGGTTCTTGTTTCTCTAACACCATCCTGATTGTCCTATTTAAAAAATGTTCACTGCAAATTTTATTTTATAGTACTGTGAGTTTCGCCTAGATGCAGGAACCCAGTGTTCACCTGAGCCAGAAAGTGGGGCAGGGCAGCCTCACCAGAGCTCAGCAGACTGTCCCAGTGACTCAGAGGACCTGTAATAGGAGCTAGAGCTTCAGTTTTTTTTTTTTTTAATTTGTTTTTATCTTGTATATGGGTGTTTTTTTCTGGATGTATGTGTGTGCACCACAGGTGTACAGGCCAGAAGAAGGCATTGGATCCCCTGGAACTGGAGTTACAGATGGCTGCTGGTTGCTCTGTGTAGGTTGGGTATTGAACCTGGGTCTGCAGCCAGTGCTTTTAACCATCAAGCCATCTCTTCAGTGCAGCTTTTGAAAATTTAAGACAGTAACTATTTTCATTTGTCACCTTGTTGCTTTTATACCATCATAGTTGTTCTTAATTCAGATTAGCATCAAAGTCAACACTTGACCATGTGGCTTTAGCAATGTTTTGAGCTTGAGTTCTTGGGGATAGTTTTAAATTCTCACGACTTTCCAAGGAAATAAAAGCAATATTTAGCAAAATTCAGTTAACTAGTAGGGCCTCAGTGTTTCTCAGGTCTTGCAAGGAATTATTGAGGTCAGTATTGCTTATAAGGGAGACAGTGCTGGTGATTGTTCAAGGCGGTTTTCAGCAAATCGTAATAGGATGAGGGCATGGGGACCATCTGTAGTGGAGATATTGTAAATTTGGAAAGGTGGAAGCCCCAGTGAGTTCATTGTTTACGTATTAAGATTTTGCTGCAAAACTTGTTTGTTTTGCATATAAACCCCCCCTCCCCTGAAAAGCAATGGGCTCTTCCTTTAGCTCTCCTATTCTTTGCTACAAATGTTTTATAATTACCTTCCCCTTGGTAGGTTTTCATTGTCTGGTAAAATGTACACATCTGAGTCTGAGCACCACAAAGGAAGGAGGTTTGCTAATACTTCATGGAGTTTTGAATTGAACTTTGATACTTTTTTTTAAAAAAAAATCTATTCTTGTTCCCAAATGAAGCAAATAGCATTTTGCTGCTGTAAGTATCAGGTTAGCAAAATTTCTTAAGAGTCCTATCCAGGAGTAAAAACAAACTTAAGAATTTTTATGCAAATACAATCAATATGTTAACATTCAGAAAAATTAATTATGAACCATTTTCAGAACAAAAAATCTACTTCTGCCTTTAAAGTATTTGCCTTGCCTTTCTCCATGTCTTTTTCTCATGTCACATTCAGTCTGATGGGGGAATGTGCTGGAAGGGGCGGGAGGCATCCAGGTGCGTCACAGGCTAATGGAGAAAATTCTGTGTGGTGTGGTCTTTATATTTAGAAGTTTTGGGATTCATTTGAAAATATGAAATGAGGACACTTTATAATTCCCCAAAACAAGACTTGATGTCCCTGAGTACGAGAGTAATATGTTGATAAACTATGAAGTTTCTGCAGCAGCGAATAAGGAGCTCTAGTCCCCTTCCCTGGGTGACTGAGCACGCTCTCGTCTCATTCATCACACGAAGAGATTTCAAAAATAATTTTGGACAGTGCAGATCACTTAGAGAATATTTATAGTTTCTTCAAACCATGACTTTGGGAATCAGTTAATCCAAGTTTCTAAAATAAAAATGGCACAAGTTTAAGATTTAAGGAATCTGAAGATTCCTTAATGTCTAAAAACAGTAGCATTTATTATAAGTTAGGTTTTTGTGCGCCAAGATTATAAATGAAGTATAATGTTTCAGTTTTGGTACTTTTCTTGTGCCTGAATCAGAATTTTCTAAAATATAATTAAAGTAGCTTCCTTCCCTCCCTCCTTCCTTCCTTCCTTCTTTTTTTCTATGCTTTCTAAAACCATTTTTAAAATCAAAACACCGTGCCTTATAGACAAGTCTGTGAGTTCTTTGCTATAGACAGAATATTTGCATGCTGGTCACCACCTCAACTGACTGGACAGATTTATAAGTCAGAAAAATGCTCATTTAGCGTTGGCATTGTTATCTTCTCTTCAACATACAATATTTGTTCACAGATTTTGCGCCATTTTTGAACAGTTCACGTAAGTCAAGGGTGGTGCCTCATGAGCTAACCGGAAGAGGGCTAAATGCCTTTATAGTGTACTAACAACTTTCTGCCAAACAGCGTTTTGCTACGTTGTAAGTGGAGTTGCCGTATATTAAAGACAACTGCCTACATTAAGATATATCTTAACTCGAGATAGGCTTCACTTTTCCCAAATCAATCCAAAACATGTATGCAGAGCAACGATTGAATCCACGATGCTATCATCTGCCAAATTTCATGCATTTCAAACTGGGTGTGTATGCCTCTTACTGTAGCGAAACGCTGTCTTCCCTTCCCAGCTGACCTCAGGGGGAAAAAAAAAACAACTCTCAGGTGCTGGTTGCAGATGCTGCGCTGTGTTGGTACCTGTGTTTCTGTCCAAGGAGATTTGGGGAGATCTGTGTAGTAATATGCATAAATTTAATAATGACACCTGCTAACAGGAAGAGGGAGATAACTTCCTGGGATGCCCATTTCCTTCCGTCCATAGAACCTGTGGGTCACCTTGGCCTTATAGTAAGTTCCTAGAGTTGAGAGGTTCTGTTCATTTGCCAGCTGGTTGGGCCTGTTTCTCTAAGTGCTTCTTATAATTTATATTTTTGTTTCATTGTTCGAGGCATCATCTCAGTGTGTAGCTCTCCCAGACTGGCCTCAGCCCTCCAGGGCCAGGGCTTGTTTCTTTCCCTCTGACCTCTAAAGTGAACACAGTTGGAGGAAAGCAAGCTGTTGAGAATATTAGTTTCAAGATTTTAATGTCTGGCGATTTTAACTTGACGGAAGTTCTTTGCTCTTCTCAACAAAAATCAAGTCTCACATTACTAGAAAAGGGTACCATAAAGTTTAGTTTTATAACTGTACTCAGGGTATTAACTTCGAGAGGCAGTTATTTTAGAAAACAGTGAATGGACTGTCAATGTTCTGGTAAAATTCCAATCACTCATTCACTACCCAGAAAGGTTGCTGTTTTCAAATTAGCTATTTATTTAATTTTTGAGGTGGGGTCTCTCTCTGTCGCCCTGGCTGGCCTGAAGCCAGCGCTTTTAAACTTCGGGTGTGATCACTGAGTTCCCGAGTACAGTGGACGGAACAGAAACAAGAAAACAAACCCAATCTCCATTTCTGTGCTGAAGGCCATGCTGTCTCTAATGTCGCTAACAAAGCTGGCCCCTCATTCTTCCGTAGGCGAGTGTGGCCTCCTCATGTGCTTTTTTGCTTTCTCTGATTTGCACCTAACTAAATCTAACTTTCCATGAGCGGTTGCTGTTTCTCGGGGCAAAATCTAGAGCAGGAATATTTTCATTCTTTTGGTGTTTTTGCAAGTCCTTAGAAAAACCACATGGCTGTGTGTGGCTTTTCTGTGTTGTGTACTCTTTCGTGGACTCTCTTTGATCTTCACATTGAGGTCTCAAAGCTGCAGTGAGTTGTTGCTCGGCTTTCAAAGCTAAGACATAAAGCATACGAACAGCTTTATGTGATTTGTCAGAATTATGCGGCTCAGGATGTAAAGCCATTACTCTAGGAATGTGTTTACATCTGCACGTTAAATAAAAGCCCAGTCCTTCAGTGTGAATGGAGCAAGGGCTAGGACTAGTAAAAAGGAAGACGTTTTCCCTTTCTGTTGGCGAGGAAACCTGTATAGGATACACTTTCCACTTATTTCAGTGGGCTTTTTTTTTGCCAAGAGAAATCTCATTCAAAGTAAACATTTTTGAGGAAAGGGTCATGCTTCCTGTTATAAGTAGGTTTTGGGGGGAGCATGTTTCTCTAAATGCTGTTATCTGTGCTATTTTGGTCTTTAAAAAGCCCAAAGTGGGTAAAAGAAAAAAAATTTTTTTGAATGGGTTTCTCCTTTTGAGGAAAATATAATTAAATGAACAAATCTTTCTAATTTTAAAATTACTATTTACTTAATTTTAAGTTGTTAAATATAAGTTATTCTTCAGCTTTAAACTGAAATCCTATAGAAAAAAACAGTACTAGACTGCTTGCCTGCTATGTGAATTAATTTGGGGTTACTAATAAGTCATTTGTGGTAACCAGGCAAGGTTTTTTTTGCCAGTGGTGGAGGTGGTAGTGGTGGTGGTGGTGGCGGCGGCAACACCTGTGTGTGTGTGTGTGTGTGTGTGTGTGTACCATACTTTTGTGTGTGCACAATGATGGAATGTGTGTAACATGTATGAGCAGTGCTTGAGTGTATGTATGTATACATGCATATACATAATGCATAAATGTGTGCACAATCTTTGAGTATGTGTTTGTATACCATTCATGTACACAATGCCTAAATGTGTGTGTGCTATGTGTGCACAGTGCTTGAGGGTGTGTGTCTGTGTACCATGCATGTGCACAATACTTGAGCGCATGTGTACTGTGCATTGCCCATGCCTGGCAATGTGTGTATATATACCATGTGTTACATATGCACAATAATTGAGTATGTGTGTGTGCACTGTGCATATACACAGTGCTTGGGTGTGTCTATGAATATGTGCACATTCATAGTGCCAGGAAACATCTTTCAGCAAAGACAATTCTAAGAAATCCTACTCTGAATCTGAGTCACGAAGAGGCAGCTAGTGCTGGCATTTTAAATGTACTTACTAGTGGGAACCTCTGTTCTCCCCCCTCCTCCCTTTTAAAATTCTTGGTGTATTTTAGGAATGATGTCTGTTTTCTTTTCCCACGGGCGGCTGGTGTAACATTGCCTGTTCTGTGTAATAGCTCAGCAGAACCCTGCAGCTCAGCTTTCTGCCAGGCAGCAGGAGCTTGAGATGAACCGACAGCAGCGTTTCTTCCGCATCCCATTCATCCGCCCTGCTGACCAGTACAAAGATCCTCAGAACAAGAAAAAGGGCTGGTGGTATGCCCATTTTGACGGACCCTGGATTGCTCGGCAGATGGAGCTCCACCCTGACAAGCCACCCATCCTTCTTGTAGCTGGTGTGTATAAATTCGCAGGAAAAAAAATAAAACAAAAAAGGATTGCAAAGCCTTGGATGAAACGTTCTAATATATAATGTAACATAATAAAGTCAGTCCCTGCGTTTCAGAGTTGAGTGACAGAGCTTTGCAATTCAGTTCCATTTCCAGGTGACGGAAAATTGACTAAATGATTTACAAAGCAAAATTGTTGTTATGCCTGTTTAGAGAACATAAAACTATGTCCTAAGAAACCTGTCACTGGTATTTAATTATGTCTGTGGTTTTGTACGAGCTCCGAGGGCACACAGGATTCCTACTAACCCTGATGACTTCTTTGATCCATGGTAGGGTCTTCAATTTTTGAGAATCCTTCCTGGGGGCAAATTTAGGTGATTTCTAGAGAACTTAATACGATTCACATCTTAGAGAAACAGTTATAGGTTCTGAAAGCTGTGAGAATTGTTGGGTGCTCCCAGAATAGCAGGCAGGAAAGTGCTGTGCAGAGAGATGGTAATTTTGTGACGTCTCCTGTCTGCAGGCAAGGATGACGTGGAGATGTGCGAGCTGAATCTCGAGGAGACGGGTCTGACTCGGAAGCGCGGGGCTGAGATCCTGCCCAGGCAGTTCGAAGAGATCTGGGAGCGCTGCGGAGGCATCCAGTACCTTCAGAGCGCCATCGAGAGCAGGCAGGCCCGGCCCACCTATGCCACGGCCATGCTGCAGAACCTGCTCAAGTAGGGTGCAGGGCTCCAGCCTGGCCTGGCCAGCTCGGGCAGGGAGGCGGGCAGAAGGCTCACCATTTCCTCGCTCCTGGTAGAACGCCTTATGCAAAGTGAACAGATTTTATTAATCATGCGTTTTGTTAATTTGTTCAAGATTAATTAAGGTTGAAGTAGTGGATTAAGGACCTAGAAACAGAACAGTCCTGGCCCCAGCAGTGACCCCCCCCATTGTTCTGATGCTTTCAGCCCCCTGAGAGAGTCTGTCCTTCTCAAGTTCTGCACACTGACCACCTTAAGTCCACGGTGACTATTCTCAAGGACAAGAGCTTTTTTTTTTTAATTTCAAATATTTTATTTTCTTTTTTAAGGATAGCACAGTGCCTTTATAACTGGGATAATGAAATCTTAGCTAATTTGGAACAAGAATTAAGGTACTTAAAATGATTAAGGAACTGATTATTTTGGTCTAAAAAGCTGTATTTTGTCTGCCTTTTCAGAAATTCATAGAAATGGACTTACTCTTTTTTGTAGTGTGCTTAGACTTGATGAAGCCCATGTTCTGGGGTTCTGGAAAGCGCTTTAATGTATAGGAGGTATCGTGTGCAGAAGAGGTGCTGGGCAGATACGGATGGACACAGGGCGCTTTTCTCCCGAGCTCTGCATTACTCCTGGAATCTCCTCTCCCTAATTCATGGCAGAGTAAAGGAAATCCAGATCACTCGGGTGACTGGAAGTTCTGATGTAGCCTTGTTTCCTCTTGGAAGGGACACAGGGTTGAGGTGGTGCTGTGACTTCACTGGACGAAATTCAAATCCTTCCTCACTTCATCTCAATTGTGATTTCTCAGTTTAAACCTTGTCCTAGTTATTTCATGTGATTTAAGCTGGTGTGCTGCTTCAGACATCTCTCCTGCCCCCTTCCCAAAAAATCTGTCTTGGTCTTTGAAATGTGGTCGTTGTCGAGCCGTTCTGTAAACTTCATAACTCGGACTCCCTTGTGCTTAGGCCGAACTTGTTCCTGCTGCAGGTGGTTTTTAAAAACACTCCTTTTGTGTGCCCTTCGTCCCAATCAGGTGTCAGCTGCTGAAGCTGGTGCTTAGGACTTGGCTGTTAGGACCTTAGAGACAAAACTACATCAAGGAGTTACGGTGATGTCCAAAGGAGTCTTTGTTTGTATTCTAGCATAAAAGTAGAAAGTAAAACTATTCTTTACACTCCCTTTGTTTTTAAACACCCTAACCTTTGAAGTTTTAGGGTTTTTTTTTTTCCTTAGACAGATATCTCAGTTAGGAAATACTTGCCAGCTGATGGGATTAATGTTTAGAAGCCCAGATTCTACTGTCACGGTTGCTCCTCTCAGAACGTACGGAAGTACTTATTTATTATGATCCCGTGGGAGTGATGGCTTTGTGATACGGAAATGAAATGGCCCCACCTGTGCTAACAATTGAAAATGTGAATGGGATTGGAGGTTGTCTTACTGCTTACACTCACCCACCGTCCGGTCATTCGGTGATTGGTGGCAGAAGGAGTAGTTACCGAAATAAACAACCTGTTGTTTCTCTTTCATCTCTCTTTTCTTGATTGGTGTCTTTATTTGTGCAAGATAGAAAAGAAGCTTTATTTCCTAATTATCAATGAATATAGTCCTTGAAAATAAACCTAGGGGCTAATTGTTTGGTCACTTGTCTGCTCAGCACTATTTTCTGTGTCTTCCGGATCCATGCATAAGCAATAGATGAAAAATTAATCAAGAAGCAGAAATTATTATGACAGAACTTTAAAATTTAAAGGATTTATAGGAAATATAGGACAGCAAAGCATTTTTGAAAGTCTCTGTGTGTGTGGGTTCTGACTTGATAATGCTACCGTTAATTGTGAGCCACTTTCTACCTAACTATGTCACCCAGATTTCCTACAATTTGTCTGTTTCAAGTAGTCTCCCGAGTTAATTTTGTCAAGAAGGAGAACTGCCCTAATTCGGGTAAGCGTGATCTTCCCACAGGTCACAGCACAGTCCTTAGATGCTTCCAGGAAAACCTTAGGACATCATTTTTGGGGACACAGCAGAAACAGTGTTCTACAAGACATGGACCCAGCGTCTCATCTGTGTTTTGTAGATTCAGATCCACAAAGGCTGGGCGAGAACTGAGGGTATCCAGGTCAGTTAACTCTTGTTTTAGCCAACCTTTAAAAACTACAACTTTAAACCAGTACACTAAACACAAAGAACTAATTTCTCGAATGCTTTTCAGTTCTAGTTTCTTCCACAGTGTGTGTACATTTTAACAGAATGTAAAGCATCGACGGCAGGTGTTTCCTGTTGAATTCAGCTGTGACACAGTGCCCCGTGCCAGCAGCACAGATGAGATGCGTGTTAGTGGGCTCAGTGAGAACAGCGAGTGTCTAGAGGCCTCGTATGTTCAGAAGCTGCAGCCCCTTCACTGTCAGGGAGACCACACCTGAACAGGACTATGTAAAGAAGCAAACTAGCCGAGATCAGCCTGCCCTAAAGGTGTTGTAGTGAGACAGGTTCTCCCTCTGACCTGTAAGAAACTCTTTACAGGCCTTGAACCCTTTTGTTTCAAGAGCAGCCAAGGAAACAGCTCAAGGCAAAACTAGGAGATGCTTGTGAGATTTAGACAGTAGAAAACACAGGCAAAATAATAATAATAGTAGTAGATATTTACTCCATGTGATCTTTATGAATTGGGTTGCTTTTTCCATGGTGGGGATTGAACCCGGGGCTTCCTGCAGGTGAGGCTCTGCCATGGAGGCACCTCTCTGGCCTTTCGAGACACTTTTACTTTTGGAAGACACTTTTACTCACAGGTTATTAATATGGTTCTCAGGGGGTTCAAATATGTAGACCTTTGGCTTCTTAAAATAGCTTTCAGATACTTGGACCAGCAGAATAGTTATTGAACTAATCAGTCAGTTAATGCTAAGTTAATGCTAATCTTACTTCCTTATGTGGAAAAAAGTTGTAGAAAGCCAGGGACATCATAAAATTTACTACCAGACCATGAAAAAGATATAAATGCCTTTGCTCCAGCTATGTAGCAAAAACAGTGAGAGCAATGTTTTGTTGGCTCAACCAGTCCTGGAAAACTTGCAAAGGGTTGTTCCTGTACTTCCCCGCTTATCCTTACCACCGGTCAATAAGGATTGAGTTTTAGTTTCTCCCAGAGATACACTAACAGCGGGGGAGGAATGGGCAGAGGACATTTAACAGTGAGGATAAGGATGGGGGTGTGGGAACAGTGGTAGCCATGAGGGCAGAGATGAGCCAAAGTGCAAGAGAAGGGAAATGGTGCGTCCCCTGAAGACTGCACCTCAACTGGGAAACACTGAGAAACACTCCTGGGTCCTTGCTGAAGTTTAGGAGGCATTTTGTACAGCTTAGGCACAGAAATGAAGGTTAGTAAACTTGGATGCTGAGTCACCTGTTGCGTAGATCTTAGCAGGTAAGGATGGTGCAGCTGAACTGGAGGTGCCCAGGAAAAACCCTGGCATCCTGTGTGCCCTGTGCGAGGTTAGGGAGAGAGTCTGCCTCTGTCGAAGCTACAGCTTTTGAGTATTTGCTGCCACCCAATCAGTGTCTTCTTCCCCCGGCAGTAGCCTATGTCTGAAGCAACTTTGGTTCTTGGAAGTTTCCCGGTAGATAACTAGGAAAAATTAATGCGCATCGCAGACTGCATAATCTTTAATCTTAATTTTCACCAATATAGAAACTACAAACAGGCTTATCAAGTGGCCACTCCTTCTTTTCACTTCTGGAAATTTGTCTATTTGTAATTGTTAATTTTTCTTCATGAACAGTGTGTGTCTAATAGTTTCTTAAAATACTGATATTCCGGAAACTCGAATAAATGCCTTCTATGTAGAACATCCTTGTGTTTTGTGTGCTGTTAATACAGGGTATGAAATGTCACACTGTTGGTAACTCTCAGGCATGTTGTGTTGGGGACAAAGCCCTAACTAGGTGGCTACATGGACAGGCAGGCACTCCAGGAGATAGAGCTGTGTGTGAGCTACTAAGCCCATTTGAGCCCTGGATGTCTCACCCCAGACTCTGACGAACGTATGAGAAGAGAAAGTTTGTAAAATCTGGTGGCCTAGCGAAGAATCCTCCCTACGGTTCTGAACACTGGCCTGTATATCTTTACGAGGAGTGCAGAACCTTCCATGCCCCCCCTGGATCCCGGTCTGTATAACTCCATGAGGAGTGTGGAATCTTCATGTACCTACTGGGTTTCTGAAAGGGAAGTAGACTAATGTCTGTCTTCACTGCTTTTTTCCCAGATGCCAAAAGATGGATGATATACAGAATAAGGAGCATTTAGCCTAAAATGAGATGCTTCTTCACATTGTATAGAATGTCTTACCTACTTAGCTTCTCTCTAAAGACCTGTCCTACACTGCTTAGCATAGGACTAAAATGTGGATAAGCAGGTTAGGATAGGAAGGGGTAGATAATTCTCTCTCCTTATGTAAGTCTTTCTCTTGCTTTTACAGTTCTGTTTGCGTTTGGGATTTTTGGGGATATGGGACTGGGTCAGTCTATCCTTCCATTATTCTTGACTCTGTGACCTTGGCACCAACTGGCAATTTGACATCCTTATCCAGGTAACATATCTTTGGTTGTGAGGAGACTGGAGTCAGGATGGGATGAAAACTCCTCATTTCTGAAGCCACAGGAAGGAAACTGAAAGTCCTGTATCCCTAGTTGCATCCACTTGCCTGCAAATTTCACGATGTCTTTTTTTTCTGCTGAGTAGTACTCCATTTTGTAAATGTACCAATTTTCTTTGTCTATTCTTCAGTCGAGGGGTATCTAGGTTGTTTCTAGGTTCTGGTTATTACTAATGCTGCTGTGAATACAGTTGAGCAAATGTCCTTCTGGTATGATTGCTTGTCCTTTGGGTTTTTGCCCAAGAGTGGTATTGTTGGATCTTGAGGTAGATTGATCCCCAACTTTCTGAGAAACAGCCATATTGATTTCCAAAGGGGCTGTACAAGTTTGCACTCCCACCAGCAATGGAGCAGTGTTCCCCTTTCTCCACATCCTCTCCAGCATATGCTGTCATCAGTGTTTTTGATCTTAACTATTCTGACAGGTGTAAGATGGAATCTCAGAGTTTTTTGATTTGCATTTCCCTGATGGCTATGAATGTTGAACATTCCCTTAAGTTCCTTTCATCCATTTGAGATTCTTCTGTTAAGAATTCTCTGTTTAGTTCTGTACCCCATTTTTAATTGGATTATTTGGTGACCCAGACACAGAAAGGCAAACATGGTATGTACTCACTCATAAGTGGATATCAGACATAAAGCAAAGGATAACCAGCCTACAGTCCACAACCCCAGAGAAGACAGGAAACAAGGAGAACCCTAAAAGAGACATACAAGGACCACTCCTGGGAGGGGGAAGTAGACAAGACCTCCTTAGTAAATTAGCAGCATGGGGGGAAGGGAGAGGGTGTTAGGGAGTGCAGAGAGGAGAAGGGGAGTGGGGAGGAGAACATGAGGGATCAGAAAAGTCGGGTTGGGTAAAGGACAGAGAGGGAGAACAAGGAAGAAATACCCTGAAAAAGAGAGCCATTATGGGGTTAGTGAGAAACCAGGCTCTAGGGAAATTCCCAGGAATCCATAAGGATGACCCAAGCTAAGAATCTAAGTAATAGTGGAGAGGGTACCTTAACTGCCATTCCCTATAATCAGATTGATGGCTACCTTAATTGTCATCATAGGACCTTCATCTAGTAACTGATGGAAGCAGATGTAGAGATCCATAGCTAAGCCCTGGGCCCAACTCCTGGAGTCCAGTCAGAGAGAGGGAGGAACAATATGTGCAAAGGGACCAAGACCATCGTGGGGAAACCCACAGAAACTGGTGACCCAAGTAAGTGGGAGCTCACTGACTCCAGATTGAGAGCTGGGGAACTTGCCTAAGACCAATCTGGGTCCCCTGAATGTGGGTGACAGTTGTGTGACTTGGGCAGTTTGTGGGGCCACTAGCAGTATTTATCCCTAGTGCATGAACTGGCTCTTTGGAGCCCATTCCCTGTGGAGGGATCCCTTGCTCAGCCTAGGTACAGTGGGGAGGACCTTGGTCCTGTCTCAAGTGATATGACAGACTTTGTTGACTCCCCATGGGAGGCCTCACTTTCTCTGAGGAGTGGATGGGGGCGTGGGCTGGGGAAAAGGTGGGGGGAGTGGGAACTGGTATTACTATGTAAAATAGGATTGTTTTATAAAAAGCAGTAAAAAAAACCCCTGTATTCCTTCTCCATGGGAGAGTGCCTCTTTTCAAAATACTGTCGTCTACATCACTGATTTATCCCTTAATTATAAATATTCCCATAGTATTCCTTCATCTTAATATGTTGTTTCACCTGCATATAATAAAAGTTTTCTTTAAAAGAAAAAAAAAGCAAAAAAAACCCCCCAAAAAACAAAATACTGTCATCATTATGAAGAAGCATTTTGATTTTGGCTTGGCAGTTTCTTGTTAAATATTGTTATCAGTGTCTGTTGTTTTGTTGTCTTAGCAGTATTAAAATAAC